AAACTCCACAGTTTAATAAATTTTATTGTGAATGTGTGTGCCATTTGCCAGTTCCAAAATAAAAGAAATAACAAGTTCCACAATCAGCAAATGTATATTTTCAATATGATCCAAAGGATTAGGAAGCAACCATATGAAATCCAACGGATCACATTGAAAAATATACAATACAATGCTTTCGCCTTACTGCCTGAAAATATCTTATATTCAATGGTCAAATCTGATGAACGGGAAGTGAGGGAAGAAGATATAAAAAGAATTTTGGCCATTAGGTTAGTAAATATTTATTCATATAAAATTGACTAAATTAGTTATACCGATTTATGGAATCATTTTAAGTATTTTATCTAATTTCAACATAAATATTAAAGCAGTACAGAGTGCAATTTTAAAAAAAAATAAATCAAATTAATTTTTATATTCTTTCAAGAGTGGGGAGCAAACCAAGAAAAAATTAAAAAGAATAAAAACTATCAATTTTAAAGCTATGCACTGGAGACAGTTAAAAGATCTGTCATTAAGTGGAATTTGTGAACCACCACTCACAGAAGAATTTTCTGAAAACGAACTTCGGGAATAATTATTAAATGGTACGAAACTTGACTTGCCAGATTTGCCCTCACATTCTCAAGGCATGGAACGGGCAGTCAAGTTAACAACAGAAGTTTCCCAATCTGTGTATGGCTTTGAAGCAAGGAACCAGCACATAATATCAAAAGCTTTGTCAGAAATTGTGACCATCAATTTCATCTGAGGGTTCTTATATGGAGCTATTTGACTATATATTAAGCCCTATTAAACTATTCTTTATTTTTTCATATTTGTTTGTTTGTTTGTTGTATTTTCATTCAAACTAGAAAAAAATCAATTTTTTAATGTATTCAACTAATACTGCTTAATTCATGAGGTAAAAACAGCATTTCAAAATCATCAGTGATAGGGGAGGGGCAAATTTTCAATTTGAAGTTTATTTATAATTTCTACATTTTATTTCATTTTGCTAAAACAAAATAACAACATTCCCTGATTTAAATAGTGAAATTGTTTTTTTTTTTATCAATATTTAGTCTAAATCTTGCAAAATCGTGGATTTTTCAGTGCTTTTTTGTCTACGATCTTTGATGCCAAATGCTCAAAAAACCGTTGAAGTGACAAATCTAATTTTTTGTATCAGTACTTAACTGGTCTATACACAACTTTCCGTACATTATTCTTTTTGATATTTTAAAAAAAGACAAAAATCGACCTACCCTAATATATATATATATATATATATATATATATATATATATGTGTGTGTGTGTGTGTCATTAACAAAAGTCTAACACTACTTAGCAGTAACAAGGTTTCCTTATATCATGAGACTGCATGAAACAATATATTTTTCTTATTGCATCAGCCATTATTCACACAAAATTTATGAACAAAAATTTTTCTCATTGCTAAATTAGCAGCCATTGTAGTAGCATTTATGTACTGAATTAGGCTTAGAATATGGGCAAAAGTTCTTACTTTTACTTACAAGAATGCTCAAAATTGTCATTCTATACATTGAAGGCTTTTTTTTTGAATGGGAAATTAGTGTAAAAGTAAAAATGTATCAAAACATGTGCACACAGTTATCATAAATTTCCATAACTTGGGGAGATTTAGTGACAAAAGGGGAAGAAGTGGACATCTGAGGTGTGCTGGAGATGACAATGTCATGAAGTACGTTGTTATAATGTTCTTTTAAGAAGATAAGTGCTTCTCTGCTTGAAAATGGGACAAATGTCAGTTCGATGAATTTCACATTGTTTGAGGTTTGAGTTTGGTCTGAAATCATTCAAACTGACTCACAAGCCACTGCTAACTGCAACTATAAAATCTAAGCATCTGGTATTTGCTAAGCAACATGAAACCTGGACAGCCCAAGACAAGAGCAAAGATATGTTTTCAGATGAATCTACTCTGCAACAGTTTGTTATGTGTAAAAGAAACAACAGAAGACCAATTCTGCTGAGATTTAATGAAAAATATACAATTAAGACTATGAAACAGCCACCAAACCCCAAGACAGATGATTGTTCCCTGTTTAAGATTGGGTTTCCAGTTCCTTTTTATTTTCTCTTTCACTCTCAGTAGCTCCTTGTGGTCTTAGTTGTATTATCACCTTGCATGGGGTAAATCGCTAAAAAACAAAAATAGTCCACACATAAATAATATAAATAATAACTCCTCCTCAAAGAAATTTTGACAGAAAATGTTTCTTTATTCAAACCTAAGTTTGTTTTATGGTGCAATTTTAACCCTTCTGCCTGAGCTCCCGAGTCAAAATTCACAAATATTTGGTATGTAATGTTTCACAGTAGATATAAAAATAATTAGAAAATATATAACTTCCTGATTGCTTCCCTGATGCTCCAGGTTGAGACTTTGCACACTTCATGGTAAAAACGATCTTTTTTATTCAAAACACATGCACAAAACACAATGAAAACAAGCAGGTCTGCCCTCGTACTTATAGAGAGTGGGTTCAACATAATTTTCCTACCTCTTTTTAATCATTGTCAATGTGTGAATATTCACTTAGTTCAACAAATTTATATTCAAGCTTTTTTCTTCATTAAAAAATTATTTCAAGCTTTTTCTTATTCCACCTTTTTTTTTCATTAAAAATTATTTCTTTTTAAATTTAGCTGATGAAAGTCAGTGTTCAAAATAAGTAAGATAATTTTTTTGTCAGACAAATCCTATTGAAGGTTCACATTTTGCATAAGATGCAAGCAAACAATCAGAATTTCATTTTACTCAAATACAACCAAAACATATTTTTTTAAATTTTACTCCTGTTTAGAACATGCATGACATATACACAAGTCATTTTTTTTTTTTACAGTAAGGTTCACTCTTTACAAGACGTGGGGGCCAATTGAAGCAGAAAGTTACATTAGGAGGTAAATTGTACACATAGGAAAGAAAGATAACAGTTACCCCTAACCTTGAACAGACTAAGATTGAAGTATTCAAGGGAAATATCTTCTTGGAAGTTCCACAGAATAGTGATTCTCAGGAAGAAGCTGTTTGAATAGAACCTATTTCTCACTGATGGAATACAGAGGGAATGTAGGTGGTTTGCTAATATGTAAGTAGCATGGTGTTGCCGCACCATGACGGTTTGCCTCGGTGGGACCAGGGAATATAGTTCATCTGAGCACTTTCTGTAGAAGTAGCAAAAGAGCAGCAATACTATTCTAAAGGATACATGGTGTGTGTATGTCCGCAAATTTTGAAAAGGTAGAAGCCTTCAACAGTCATGCTTGGCTAAAAATTACTGATATAGTATTCAGTGTAATAACTGCTGCTAATTGTTAAAACTAGCAAAGTTTTACCATACAAACAAAATGACAGCAATCTTTATGTCATATACAGACACAAAGGAAAATTTAAGCAAAACAAAAAACAAAAAAAAGAAAACAAACGATTAAAATGAGCCAAAGCAAAAATACCCTCCCACCACCACAAATGAATTTTTAAATATGAACAGCATTGGGAAAAAAAAAGATAAAATATTTAGAAAGAAAGGTTGTATATTAATCCAGCTAATATGCAGGGAATTCTGAAGTGAACTCTTTATTTGATCTAGACTGTTCCCTTTCCATTTCCCATGTTGTCTAGGGATATTTTGTCTAATTCTTACTTGAAGTACTATTCAGTTATTGTTCACAGTTTTCAATGAGTCCAAGTACACACTACCTGGAGCAGGAATTGAACTCGTTACTATGTTATTATGTGACCAAATTCACAAACCAACACTCTTATCCACTAGGCTATTTTCCCACAGGACATTTCTTTGTGGAGAACTTGGAATTTCCCTGTACATTATCCAGATCAATATACATATGAAGAAGGCTGGAAAGTACAATGGTCAAAACTTTGTCATCACAACAATAACATCACAACAATAATAACATAATAATAATAGTTCACATGTAAATAATGATAACTCCTCATCTCAGAAATTCAGACAGAAATTTAGAAAGAAAGTTTAATTACTTTTTTATTGAATAGACAAGGAGTTTAAGCACTGAAGTAAATAAATGAAACTTTTTTTTAAACTTTACCAAAATGATAAATCTTGAAAAATAGAAAAGCTTCAGGTAAACTGAAATATCCAAAAAGAATTTAGAAAAAGTTTCTTAATAACATTTAACTTCTTTTGCACTCAATAATGACAGCTACATGACATGGAGTTTACACAGTGTAGCAATTATTATTTGAAAATGTCTATGCATATTACAGGGCTCTTCCTAACTGGGCTAAGTTTATTGGGTGTGGCTGCAAGGAATTTAGTGAAATTTGCAAAAGAGTATCTGAAGGTCAGTTGAAAGTCCCTAGAAGCAGTTTCATATCACCCACAGATAATTGGAGATGTGAGAAATGGAAGATTTTAAAATAATCTATTGGAAGAGTTGTTTATGCCACACCTGTCATGAAAAAAACTAGTTTCATAAATGGTTCTTGCAAAATCAAATCACTGCTGGTTGATGACTACAAAAACCTGATAGAAAGCGGTGTCTATTGTACAGTGTGTTGATTTATGGGTTGAGTGACACCAACATTGAATTGGGATGTGTTCTGATGTAATGTTCCCCTCAACTGGTTAACATCTTTTTCAATCTATGCAACTCCATTCTTTCATCACCTATCACAGCCACCTCTGTCTGAAATTCATATATTGCTTGCATAATGTTGCTAAAAAAATAAAACAAATTTAAAGCAGTTGCTCCCTCAGAGATAATGTTCTATCTTTTGTGCTCTAACACTCATTCCACAATCATTGTTGAATCCTGGGTTTGTCCCAAGACCTGCTACAGCTACACTACATCTTTACCTATGTCATCAGACTGTCCATTTTTACAAGGGTAGGTAAAAATATCCAGTGTACTGACATTTCAGTATAATGAATACACCTTCTTGAATTCTAAGAAAATTACTTTTCCTCTTTAATATCAACTTACCTGGCACCAAAACACCATAAACACTGACTTCTTCAATAAAGTCAAGTTCTCTCAATACACTGGCCACATCTTCTGTGGCAACATTTTCCCCTTTCCAGCTGAAAAAGAAAATAAACAAATTTTCAAACAGAAATTTTTTCTCTAATATTTGAATAAATAATTAAAACAAATAAAAAAGATATAGAAGATATATTGCCAAAGAAGATTGGAAAGTTTATCAGACACAGCAGTAAAAACAACAAAGATATGATACTAGTCTAAATAATAATCACTAAAAAATGAGAAAATTTAATTTCAAAATTCTAGACAATAAAAACATTTCATTTTTTTGCTTATTCTTGAATCCTCCCCGAATTTCAGCATGATTAGCAATTGACGATTCCCTCAACAATCAAATGATAGGTTAAATCTCTGGGTGGATCTCAACTTTTTTTTTTTTAATAATTTATCAAATGTAGTTTTCTTGCATGATGAAGTGCACTCTGTTATTCAAGAAATTACATTTGATAAAATTACATTTTGCCTGTTTTGCCATCACAAAAAAAAAGGAAGAAAAGGGGGAAGTAAAAAAAAAGGAAGGGAGAAGGAAAGAAAAGGGGAAGGAAAGAAAAGGAAGGGAGAAGGAAAGAAAAGGAAGAGGAAAGAAAAGAAAGGGAGAAGGAAAGAAAGGGAGAAGGAAAGAAAGGGGGAAAGAAAGAAAAGGAAGGGGGAAGGAAAGAAAAGGAAGAGGAAAGGAAAGAAAAAGGGGGAAGGAAGAGATTTTTGTCAGATATAAGTGGCACTTATCAAGAAATATATATAATATGCAAAATTAATTTCTTGTTTTTTGGGGCTGTAATTTTTTGTTGAACTAGATTATCTCTCTTTTGCACTAACACCATGTAGTGTCAACTTCATTATAATAATGGTAGACTACCCCCAAAGATATTCAGGCATCAAGGTTGGCCCCCAAGACTGACGACAAAACATAAGATACCAAGATTGCACCCACCACTGACCAAGAAATTTAGGTACCAAGATTAGTTCATTCCTGTAATTAAAAAATATGTCTGGCCAAGTTTCAGTTCAATGCATTCAATTGTTTAAAGTCAACGTATGCAGCAAATAAGTTTATCCTTTTGATGCCTCTTTGAAATCTAGATTCAGATATTCAAAATAGTACTCTGTTGATAGTAGAAATGATATAAACTTGATATTTTTCAAGAGATAATTTAATGACAATTATTTCTCTGTCTCCAAAAAGATGACGCTTTCAAAGAATAAATATGAATGCATGCAATTAAAAAAAGGAATATCTACTTAAAAATGCTAAAATGTCATAAGCAACACTTGTCAAATGATCTTTTTATTATTTATGATAGAAGGTGAAGTTAAATATCTATAAGTTCTGGAAATTATTGACCAGCACACAAAGACATTTTGGCCTTTTGTTGCATGGGGAATTATTAATCTGTAAGCATAATTATGAAAATAATTATTAATAAGAAGAAAAATAAAACTACAAATATTTATTTACTTCGACTTAAAGTATAAAGTTCAAAGTCATTAGCAGTTGTTCTCTCTTATCCATTGGGTAATATGTTCACCCCACCCAGCAAATGCCTGAATCTGCAGATGGTGTTAGACTTTGTTTTTTTTCCATAAATACATGAAAATGTTAATTAAGTTCAATTCATAAATTAGACACAATAAGAGATTACCAACAATAACTAATAATAAAATAGAACAATTCTAACAAGATAGACTGTAATAAAAGTTATGTAACTGATTGATGCGTTCTTATTGCCGAACTTAGCAACCTCAGAAGAGGATTTTTTTCATTCTTTTAAATCAAAAATGTATAGCTTTTCACATAAAGGAAACCTGTTACAGTTTCTCTTTATTATCTGAATTACCAAAGCCTTGCTACTCTTGAACTTGAGAACTATTATAAAGTAAAACCTCTGAACTGTTTATATCTGACGTTGACTCCCAGGATAAGTGAACAGGATGAATCACTGTAGATCAATTATCATTATATTTTTTGGCATAAAAGATGTATCCTTAATTTCTCTGCTTAAATTTGGTAAAAAAAAATCATAAGGCCCTTTGGTGTCAACTGATGAGCAGCGAAATATATGATCATAAAAAGAAAGGCCAATTTTCAAAATAGATTTGGTTGGCGGGGAGGACACCTTTGATGCCTGGAAATATATTTCAAGCAAATAAATTTCCATAACAGAGTAATTGTATCAGCAAAAGTTTTCCTGAAAACATTTCAACTTACCGGAATGTCTCTCCTAATCTGTCTTTGAAATATACAAAATAATCTTTGTCCTGGTAAAGTAGGTCCCCAAAATTAAAATATTTGTCTCCTGGTTTTATAACATCCCTCACAATTTTGAGATTCTCTAATTTGCTTTCTCCTTTGTAGAGTTTTTTGTCCAACACCGGAAGAATTTCCCCAAGTAACAAACCAGTTTCACCTGTACAAAGAAATAAATGACAAAGAAAAGTGATAATAATAAAACAGAAATATAAAAAAAATCCATTATCCACTTTACAAATAACTACACATCAGAATTGTTTTTGAAATCCTTAGTCAGGTAAAGAACTTTTCAGCACCCCATTATATAGATGTTCACATTCAAAAGACCAAATTTTAGGGACAAAAATGCAAAATAAATATGGTAATAGTTTTATTAGATTGACAACTGTTTGTATCAAATATGAAACAGGAAAACCAAGAAATGATTTACATTCACACTTATATTAACAAAGGGGATTAACTTGAGCAAGGACACCTTATTCTCCTTAAAAATAGCCCCCCACCCTAATACATTATCCAGTTATTCCAACAACCTTTTGAATCAGTCTGCAAATTTCATTTTCAGGATTATCATCAATTGTCTTGTTGTACTCTCCTTAATCTAATACACATTCTGAAATCAAAATGGCAATTTCATCTTTAAGCAAAAAGACACCAGGTGCCAAATGGTAGGTGAAGGGGGTTGGTACAGACACACCTACGATTAATATAATGTTTTGCAAAAAAAAACAAAAAAACCCTGAAATTCTAATTCTAAATTTATAATTTACTTTGACTGCACACCTGGACATGTTTAACAATTCAGGCTTATAAAAAAGTCTTCTAAGATGTGGATTTTACTTCCAATATTTTCCTGTCTTACTTTGAGCACCTCAACATGGTGTAATGGTTAGCAAGCTTATCTCACTAGAACAATTATGGCTGAGTAGTGAGTTTGATCCTCACTGGGTGCCCCATACTTTCAGCCTTGTTCCATACCTAAGCTACACTTAAAAAAAAAAAAAAAAAAAAATCACCATATTCCTGCCTGAGTTTGAAGTACATCAGTGTATAACATTTTCATCTTCCCTTGACTCAGTGAATCATTGTCCAGTACAAAGGCCTTAATCATTCAAATAGATCCTGCAGATGGATGTCCATGTTTTAAACAAAACTTGATACATATTCACCATGAAAGGCAATGAATATACAACACATACACGCAGAGTCTGATTCAATGAATATTGCAATTCTGAGTAAAACCACATGGGAAAATGTCTGTTCATATATATATATATATATACTAGCAGCATGGCCCGGCGTTGCCCGTGCTTGATTAAAAAATCGGATGACTCATACAGCAATCACAATCACTTGACTTAAAATATTTTTGCCCTTCCTTGCCTTTAAAGGAGTGTCCTTTGCTGTGTTGATGTTGCTACATGCCTTCTTGCCTATCTCACACTGCGAATTTTTTCTAAGCTCAATACTAAACATTAAATCTGTTACGAAAAAAGAAATAAACAAAATGAACACAAAACAATCAGCTTTAAAAAAGGACCCGTAACTGGAAAAAACTAATGAAAAAAAGAATGTTAACAACAAATACTTTTTCACACCCAACCCAGTTCTGCGTAATCAGAATCAACGTTGAGTCAACGCGAGCGAATGAGCCAATTGTAGTAAAGTGTCATGCAGATTTAAATTTTTCCCACTTGTGACGAATGCAGCTATCGATTTTTTTTGCATGCTAGTTAACATTTGTGTAAGTCAGCTGTTGGCTCTCATACTGGCCAGTACAAAATGGCCGCAAACTACATGAAAACTGCCATAGAATCATGAAAAAAATCGATTATTTCCACTATCGATGGAAGTTGGGAAATGCAAAGTTGATCTTGGCCTTTTGGTGCAAATCTGTCGAAAATTGCGGTCATGCATTCATTACACACATGCACACATCGTGCCTTTTATAGATAGAGATAGCTAAATCTCCTTATTGGTAACACCAACTTATATCAAAGCCTCACAGCCAGTTGTTAAGATATTCAAAACAGCTGAATACACCAGAATCATTGATAAGAGATGAAATGTAAACATACAACCAGACCCTCATCCCAACGTCACAATGAATGGCTGGCAACATGAGCAAGTGGTATTGGAAATACCTGAAAGATAGTGTCTGTCACCTGCCAAGGAACAGAACTATTTATTCAATCTCTACTGTTAATATAAGCTAGCAACCTGAAATTGTCAACATCCAGTTTGTTATCAATTGATTTCAAAAGCTCTCATATGGTTATTTAATGTTTCATTCAATTAGGTGCTGCTTAGAATACTTCAAAGACACCCCTCCATCTACCAGCCATTAAAAAACACTTGAGATAATCATTTTTTATGTGGATGTCCTCATTTAATGTATCACAAAAATATGGAGCAATTACTAATAAAAATCTGTGAAGTAGCTTCTGTACAGAAGGCTTACCAACTTAGCATATTTTTTTTTCAGTAAAAACCATCATAAATTTATTAGTATCTGCTAACATTTACTATTTTGATAAGCATAGAATTACAAAAGTCTTTCATGGTAAATGTTCAAATGAGCTCTTTTTTTTAGTTCAACCAGTTCAGACCTTTACCGCTAGGACATGCCACTTCCACAGAGTCGAATCAGCCTCATTTCTTCCATATTCCAAATTTAAGGAGAAAGTTCATCTATCAACTTTATATTGATTATATGAAGACACAATGCATCAAAAGTGATTGAATACAAGGGTAGACTTCCTTTCATAAAGACTAATCAAATGCACATTATCCGAGGCCGTGCTGGTGCTTGCTACATTTTCATTCCATTAAACCCTCAAAATAGGAGTTTGACAAATGCATAAGTGAATTTATGATCTCTTGACTAAAGCATAAAGATCAACCTACACAAAATGTGAATTTATCTATGAATAACTACAATAATCAAAATCTATTGCTTTTAAAATAAAGAAAAAAAAAAAGCAAGTGACAGAAATAAAAGGTTAAATGTTCCATTGTTGTTAACTTGGAAGGTCAACAGAATATTTATTTTCAAAAGTTATCAAAATGCTATTTTAGACAAAATCCAAAGAATGTCTGGCTTAGTCCAATAAGTAGGAAACTAGCTTGGTAGACCCTTAGTAAATTTAAAGAGGTTGATCCTGACTGGGTGTCCCACTATGTTCCATCATCAACAAGGAAACCTTGAACTTTCCCTTATCACGGTGAATAGGTGTTCTCACAGAGAGGCCCACTTGGGATTCAAGCTCAACCCAAATTCTGGGAAAATGGTTGGTTCCCTGTACCACTCCAGTAAATACCTGACTCCTCTTGCTATCCTCTACTTTTAAAAGAGTCAGATCAGACCAAAACTAGAGTACTGCTGCCATATATGAGTAAGACGTCACCAATTTTCATTTTCAAGTCTTGATAAAGTCCAAAAGCATTTCCACAGCCTTGGGGGTGATGAATTATTTTCTACCTTACAACCCCTTTCCCACAGATGAAACATTGCAAGACACTTGCTACTCTATGGCTATTTCCATGGAAAATGTTCAGATAAAACTCCATTCCTTAGTTCCACCAGTTCAGACCTTCACAGCTAAGACCGGCCATGCCATGCACATTTTAGCAAACAACCCTCATTTCCGTTGTATTCTATTAGTGAGATGTAAGCTTCACTAAAACATTTTATTCCCACAAACTGCGACTTTGTGAAACTGACTCCCAAGAAGATTCTCCCCTGATTACTACAATCTTAACCTATTCAAGTGGAGTTAATCTTATCTTCCCCACAAGTCAAGTTAACCCATAAACTGTGCCTCTTACTCTGTAAAATTATACCTAGTGTAACCCTTGGACCCTTATACGGGGGGGGGCATTATTGTAAAAAAAAAAGTAAATAAAAAGGACAAAGAAAAACTTAGAAAAATATCTATACACCATCTAGACCAGTGATTCTCTGACCCCACAACAGTGGATTTGGGGATTGAGACGAGCAAATTCTGTACACTGATGATAACCATTGTTACAGTTCTTGTTATAGAATATGTAGATATTTTGTTGATTTCACAGTGTAATGATGTCATTTACAAGGGGATGGGGAGATATAAAGATATTTTCAGAATCTATTTTAGTAACCAACCCTATTGTTAAGATTTAATTTATTAAAATATCTTATTTCTATAACTTCCATCACCAAGATTCCATCTTTCAAACCCAGTCCACTTTGATGAAAAGATTTGATCCAGAGAAGAGAGAAGAGCAAACATCTTAGTTGTTAACAAATATTTCAAACATCATTTCCTTTATTAAATGTAAAATTTATTTTATTTTGACATCATTAACAGTTTCTAGATTATCACCATTTATGCTATGAAGGCGATATTTTGCCTTGCCAAACAGTCTTCAACATTGACTGTTCAAAGAAGGCAGTAACCAATGGACAAAGAATCATTTCTCAAAGACAACTGCCATATGGTACAAGGTCTGTTATCATGATAATTGCTTAAAACCCATCATTTCTCAAAATGGCATGAAAAACTAAATATTAATTGTAAGTTTGCATTTATTCACTTCAGCAAATTCAATTTTTTTTTATCTTTCAAATACTTATTCAATAGAAAAGACAAGTAATTTTGACAAAAAGAAGTTTGTCAATATTCAGAAAAGTATTTCAAGTTGGACTTTATACTTATAGAATATGTGGCTTTGGAATGATATTGAGATCTTTCAAAGAAATTGAATTCAACATTTCTAGAAGAACAAATTTAAAGATTTCATTTTTAATAAAAACTTCAATAAAAATTCTTTTGTCAACAAAATTATTTATCAATGAAATTATTTATCACCATTTTGAATTTTTATTTTAAATTTCATTTTATTTTCCAAGCTTAACAAATAATAAATTTGTTTTATTCTCATCAAGGATTGCATGGAGGGTATGAAAGTTCAATATTTGGTTGATGAGCCAGAATTTAATAGTACATATGTAAAATCATAGATGGTACTCTGTTATATAGAATTAAAGAACTTCTTTTTTTTTTACATAGTAAGAGGAGAGGACATGGTGGTGGGACATAGAACAAAAAAGTTAGGAACCACTTTTACTAGATTATACAAATACCCAAAAGGTCTAAAAGATTATACAAATACCCAAAAGGTGTAAAAAAAAAATAATCTTGGAAAAATGATACATTTTAGAGAAGATAAAATATCTAATGCTGTCAGAAAAATAAAGCCAAAGAAGATTGTGTTGCACCAGCTATATGAATCAATAGTTGTATTGGTTAGTAAGATGGTCTCACAAGCCATTATTATGGTAACAAGTTTGGTCCTCATTGAGTACCTCATGCACATGGCCTTGTGCCAAACGCTGAGTAAAGCTCTTTAAGGCCTTAATCAACATGAAGGTCATTGAGTACCTGGATAAGAACAACCTCTTGTGTGATGAGCAGTATGGATTTTGATCAGCCTGATCCACTGCTGATGTCCTAACTACCATTACACATAGATTTAGTGAGGCCCTTGATGACACACATACCGCAATGGCCACAGCAGATATCTCAACAACCCTCGACAATATGTGGAACAAAAGTTTGCTATTCTCCAGCTATGGAATCACTGGAAGGGTCTTCTCTATTATAAAATCCTTCCTAACAAGTAGATTCCTGAAGATAGTTATTAATGGCCATTTTTCTGAGTCAACACAGGTGTCCCCCCAGGGGTCACTTCTCAGACCAACACCTAGGATCTACCTAGGAATATACTCCGATCATTTGTAAATGTCTATGTCGATGATACGATGATATATGGGTGCAGATGTGTGCCCATATATCGCCTTGACGATCAGAGATTGGCAGCTGATCTAACACTAATTTCCCAGTGGGGTAAAAACTGGCTGGTTACATTCAGTGCCTCAAAAACCAAACTGATTATATTCCATCACTGCTGAAAAGACTTTGAACAACCTCCAGTCACAATGAACAGTTGTCCCCTAGAGAAGGCCCAGTGTCTCAAGATGTTTCCTCAAGCTTCAAACTCACACCAACCTCAAGTGGAATTCCTTTATATGATCTATCAACAAAGATGCATGTAAAAGGATAAAAAATGGAGTACTGTTGTCATATTTGGGCAGGAGCTGCCTATACCTCATTTTCCTGTCTTAATAGAGTTCAAAAGCATCTTTGTGGGAGAAGAATTATTTTCCACCCTCCAACCTCTTTGGCAGAATATGGCAAGTCACTCACTGCTCTATGAATACTATTATGGAAAGTTCTTGGATGAACTGCATTTCTTGATTCAGCCACTTCTGACCTTCACATTGTAGCAACCCATCCACATTCTCTCTGCATTCCATCAGCAAGAAGTAAGTTCCACTCAAACAGCTTCTTCCAATGAACCACTACCCTATGGAACAGACTCCCCAGAAGATGTTTCCTCAATCACTACAATCTTAACCTGTTCAAGTCTAGAGTTAACCGTTATCTTCCCCTCCTATCCATAAAAACTGCCCTTTAATGTAATCCTCTACTCCGAGTGGCCCCCGGGCCTTGTACAGAGTGAACCTTCTGTAAAAAAAAAAAAAAAAAAAAATTTATTCCTACAACAGCTGTAAGTGAGCAGAGCCTGCCTTCCTAGATCAGCAGTTGAAGTTCTGGCTTTTAACCAGATTGGAATTCTGATTTCTGGCACCAAAAGAAAATAATAACTAATTCAGCTACAAAGCAGTCAGTATTTCCACTTTTATTTTTTTCATTTTTTTTTTTTTCTATTTGTTATGGATCATTAAAAAAAAATTATAGAAGCATTTAAAAAGACAAGCAATTAAAAAAGGCGTGAGTGACTAATTACCTTGATTGACTAATATACATCGTCCTTTTGCATCTCTCAGGGGTTCCACACTATCAGGGTCATATTTTACAAGAATTGTTTTTGATGGAATCAGCCAGTTCTGAAAGATTTATCAAAACAAAAACAAACATTAAACAAAAAAATATAAATTTTGATATTCAAAGATGAAATAAATTGACACCTTTCCATCTTTGCTCACAAAGTTTACCATGCCAGATTTTTCTCCTTCATGTTACTTAAGAGAGCATTTCCACTTGAAATATCATGTACAAAAGATACAGAATATCAGAAGCAGAACTTCACAGAAGTGAAATGCCATCTTTTCAAGGTCAAGCCACAACTCTTGTTCTGGTCTGAAATTGGTATTGATCTATCTATCTCAATGTAGAAACATGCAATCCCAGGATATAAAATCAACATGGACTCTGTAACTACATAAAGGATGGGTTCCAATGTGGCAGAGTCCACCCCAAAATGAAGATCCTGATTTCCAAAATACATAAATATTCATTTTTTAAGAACATTATCATTATTATTATTATTATTATGTTAAATTACAAAGAGGTAGAAAAAAATTGGACAAAAAAAAGAGCAAGCAAAAATTTTAGGATTGTGCTCCATTCAGAGTATTAAAAATAATCTTTAATTTTACTTTGCTGATCAGTCAGTTATGTGGCATGCGTGATACACGTGTAGGCGTTCATGTATCTTTCGATACATGACTGATGAGGCAGATTTTTTCTCCACAGTAGGTTGCCATTTCTTTCTGTGGTAGACCAGTTGCCATCCAAAGCTATAGAACCTGGTCTGTCTTGCTATTTATCCATAGCTGGGGAGAGAAGAAGAGGCTTCATACCTTTCCCAAGGGTATTAGCACATAAGTGAATGTAATGGATTTGACTGAAATTCAAACTTGGCTCTCCAGTTCCTCAATCCGAGCCGCTATCCATTACTCCACCATGCCTGCAGTTTGCCGATAGGCTTTGTAAATAAATCAGACTTATTTATGAAGTAAATCATTGTGTTGTCATTATTAAGTAAAATAAAAGTTACTACATATGCGACACTGAAGCCATGTAGTAGTTAAATGTTAATTAAGAGCAGCAAAGAGTTAAACCTAAAATGGAATGTAAGCTAGAATATAAAAAGAAAAAGAGAGAGTGTGGAGATATTTTCCTTGGTAGAAATGAGACCATCTGGACTTCTTTTCCCCTAATGTTTTTTTTTTATCCATCGAGAGTCTGGTATATGGACAACAATAGATTTGGAAAAATAATTTTATCTCTTCCTTGAGGAATTAAGAAAACACATATCACTAACGAGAAGAGAGATGGATGGAGCTTATATTTTTATTGACGAAAACAAATTGGGAAATTTGAACAAAGAATGAACCACTTTTGAGGGTCGAAGTCATGAAGAGAGATCCTGTTGTTGACAAGCAGGTGATCTGGTTTGAATTTTTGCTGGGCAGAGATAAATCTAGAAAAGGAGAAATAATTTTATCTCTTCACTGAGAATTTAAGCAAACAAATATTGTTGGCAGTAGAGAAAGTGAGGGGTCTAGATTATATTTGTACTTACAAAAACAAATTGGGAAATATAAATGAGGAATGAACACAGGATCAGTCGTTGACCTGCAGGTGATCTGGTTTATATTTTTGCTAGACATAGATCCTTCCAGGAATGGAGAAATAATTTTATCTCTTCCTTGAGGAATCAAGAGAATTGAAATTAATGACTAGAAAACTACACCCTTTTGCACACATGCTTTAACAATTAGATCTATCACAAAGACAACTGTGCCTGCCCTGGGAGATAGGCTGAGATTGAATACTAAGAAAGAAGAAGGAAGAGGGAGAATTTGGCACTGTGTGGAGTGATGGTGCAAGATGTAAAGTAAAGCAAGTTGGAATTTAAGAAGGTGGATAATTCTCCAAATTTGGAAAGTTTATTAAGAAAGCAGAAATAGGGAACAAAGAATCCTTATTGAAAATTGAAGAATCAACAAATTCCCAGAACCCTCATGTCTCATGGCCTCATGTTAGTTTTGGGCCAAAGTGCATACAAGCAGATAGCTTTGAGAGTTCAAGGATTTGGGAAGCAAATCCTGCATCGAGTGCCTCTGGAATCCACATCAGCTGCCACAAAACTTTGAACAACATATATTAGGCACGGCAGTGTCACTATAGAGATTGATGCAGGAAGGGTTAATTTTTGTTGTACCAAGAACTATATGAACCAATGAATCGTACCTTTTTATTTTTTTTTGTTGTGAAGTTATTTCTTCCCTTAATGTAGCACCCCCCCGACAGCATGAACCAGTACTGTGATTAGTATGACATTCAATCTTTCACTGCTCTGAGATCAAGACCAGAACATGGGCAGAGTTGGTGTGGATTGAATCGGCCAGTGACCAACAACCAGCCTGGACCAGCATCAACATTGACCAGCATAGATTTAGCCCTGTGGATAAAACATTATCATAAGACCCTGAAAACAGGATCACTAAACATAGTTACATCACCAGGTATAGGCAGTGGTAAAAGGAGTTATACATACAATGTTATTGATATTTTAAATTACAGGCAAATATTTTGCTTTAGGTTTCCAAATAGACATTTTACACAACTTTCAACATTTAAACATGAAAAACTTTAGTTAAAAAAAGTCAATTTGGGTACATTACCAGTAGTGGGGAGATGCGGCCAACTGCGCCAACTCTGTTTTCAAAATTAATCAACAGGGCACTTCCTTCGGTGGCTCCAAAAAATTCAACAATTTTAGGGATTTGAAATCGTTTCTGGAACTTTCTCCAAATATCTTTGCTGAGACCATTTCCATAGAGAAGACGTAATTTGTGATAAGACTCATATTCAGACTAAAAAACAAACAAAAGATTTAATCAAATTACAAAATTTAGAATGATAACAGTGTTGCACTCAGTTAGGATCAAACTTACTATATTCAAAAATCTGTTAAGATTATTAACCATTACACTATAAGTGCTCAGACATGTGACATTTTCAATTGTTCCTTTTGACTTGTAAAATATTTCTATTAGACTATCAACAAGAAGAAAAATTTTATTTTATTTAAATTGCAAATGTTAAATTAAGTATTCATTCATAATTAAACATTTTTCTGATTTTGAGATTCACATAGAAAGTATTTTTATTATTTTCTGAATTAAAATTTCTTTCATTAATTTTCTTGCATTCTGTCCCTTTTGTTTTTACTCTAGACCTTCTGAGGCTGTTCAGTTGTGCAACATTAAAATAAAGGAATTTTGAATTAAAATATTTTGTGTTAGATTCTCAAAACAAAACTGCCTTTCTGTGTTTCTCCTCATCCAAATTTTAGGTTCTTGAAAATCCACTTCAGGAAAAAAGTGCACAATCAAACAAATAATTCATAACCAGAAAAAAAAAAACAAAAAAAACCACCAAATGTAGCTTTCAGAAACTGTTCAAGAGTTTCTGCCTTATCAACACATGGATTTTTTAGTGTAGAAGAGGTACCCCTAGTTTTTGATAATACATTATAATATTTAATATTCAATACATTAAAATGTTGACTACACTGTCCTAAACAAGATGAGAAAGTTTGAGCATGTATGTCCTTTAATAGATAAAATGTAAACAATTTCTCTTTTTTGGAAAAGCAGAGTGCATATTATAAACTGAAAACTAAGAGAATTCCTTTGATTCCCTTTCATGTATTGAATTAAAATTTTCAAAAATAAGTTTTAGCCAAACATATGCAAAAATGATTTAAAAAGGCAGACTAATATGATGATCATTTTTGTTTTGAGCGCACAAATTCGATCAGTCCATTCTCCAACCATTTTTTAAGTTGCATTTCAAAAGTATTCACTGAACGTCACATATGAAGGTTGTAGAATGGGCCAGCCAAGAGAATAAAACCAAAACAGTTTTGTTTGTATAATACATGCAAGATATAATCTCAGAATTTTAAAAATTACTCACAAATCGTTGAGCTAGGATGTAACGGCACAATTCTCCAATATACGAAGCAACTGTTACTTGGTACTGGCAACAATCTTTCCAGAAAGATGAAGCAGAAAACTTTCGTTTCAGAACAACTGTAGCACCTGGTCAGGAAGACAAAAAATAAAGATATTGTTAACCAGCATTATCATCTAAAATAGCGTTTCATGAGGAGACATTGTGCATAATGCCAAAACCCTTCAGCTTTCTTCTTTGAACGTCAGACTAGCACTACAGAATGCAAAGAAAAGAATTTGAAAAATAACAGAAACCACATCACTTGAGGACTTTCAACTTCAGAAACAACTAAAACGGATAGCACATGTCACTCAAAGAGAAAATAAGGACATAATCAAGATGTTGACATTTCACACAACTTAAAACAAAACGTTAGGAAGGAAACCGCCATCAATACTGGAAAGAGAGACAACAGTGGGTATGAGAAACCTATTTTCTTGAAAAATTATTTTCAAAAGATTTGACAATTTCAACCAAAAATAGCACTGACCATTCAGTCAATGAATGCCAAATGTTTCCTTATAAGGAAAGAGCTAATATTACTTATTACCATTCTTATAAGTCAATGATGATGATGTCCACAGAATAAAAAAAACAGATGGGAAGTAGGGTTTTATATATATATATATATATTATATATATATATATATATATATATATACATAGTGTATTTAGGCAGCAATCCTTCTTAAAGACAACTGACAAAGTACTACGATTAAGCTTTTTATTTAATTTTTATTGTGTTCATGCAAGTGTTTTCTTTTCTGGACACAAAATGTGTAAAAACTTTTCAAAAGTTCTGCATATCCAAGTATTTTCAGCTTTTCTTTTAGACATTATCAAGTGTGATTTTTATTTTTTTAACAAAATATTTTTGTTTTTTATTTTTATGTATGTATCTGAAGTTATAGGAATGTAATATTTTCCAAACATGGTCAGCACATTGTGGTCATGTTCATAGTTAATGCTATCGAGTGTTGGCTTTTCTTTTTTTTATTATTAGTCCTTCCATTATTTTTAATTTTTTTTTTTTTTTTTTTTACATATGGATGAGACTATTATACTTGTATTTTCTACTAGTGTGTTTCAGATGGAGTTTGGTAGGTTTTTGTTTGTGTTTAAATGAGTCCTCAAGAAACTATGGTTCAGGTAGGTGTAATGCAAGTCGTCTAGATAGGCATGTAGTAGTGTGACCAATGTAATTATTTATGAGCTTGGTTTGACCAGGAACAAAGTTTCTTAAGCCATACTTGAACTTGTAAATAATGTTGATTCTTTATAGTTTTGATTTTGCAGGTGTGCTGTTATTTTTGATTATGAGATTAGCTGTTTTAAATTTTTTGCAATAGATAATTTAATTTTCTTGTTCTGGTCAAGTGGGGTTGTGTATTACTTTATGATATTTCTAAGAAAAATTTGTCTTGCTTATAGTTAACATATATTTGGCTTTTTAGAAAGACGTTAATGTTATTGTCTGTATATTCAGTATCATTATTACCTTATATATATATATATGTGTATATATATATATATATATATATATGTGTATATATATATATATATATATATATATATATATATATATATATATTTATTCGAAAATTTTAGCATAAATATGTTATAAAATCACTACAAAAATAGCCATTTTGTTTCAACACTTCTGGTGTCTTATCAAGTGATGATGTTGAATGTAGAATAAAGAGTTTTAAAAGGTTCAAATCTACCAAAAACCCCTTGATAGGGGAAACATTGTTACATAAGCTGCAATGACCAATCAAAATATAAGTATATGACAATTCAAATAACTTGACAACGAACCTTGTTTATAATAATTAATGCCTTAATGTTAGGGTTAGACTAAAACAGAAATCATTCTAATTAATATTAAATTTTTCTATCAAATTGAAAATTAAAAATTACAAATTTAATGTGTATTAAGTTTAAAAAATTATAAAATTATTTAAAGAAGAAACTGAGGAAAAAATACATGTTTCGTTGTGTATATTGAAAGGCCAAAAATTCAGTTAGAATAAACATTAAAATCTAATGTTGCTCTAAGCTTCATTACAGCTTAGATACATTTGAAATGATGATATGGGCAAGGGAGGGTGAAATCTTGCAAAAGACAATACATACACAATCAGATTATAATACACAAACATGTAGACATATTTAGATATATAAACACACAAAAAAGCAAACGAAACAGGAAATACATGTCTACAACCCTTAAGAAAAAATTGAACAACATATACATACAATGAAAGGCACATACAAGTAATTATACATACATTGATAAAGACACACACATATACACACCAAGAAATATTCAAATTTGAAAGTGTTAGTAAACAAATTCAAACATACTATTAAAATATAACTTATACAGGCAAAGATAAAAATGGTTGAATAGATAAAATTTAATATGGGTAGAATGGAAGACCCTATGTCTGGCAAAAAGAATTTGCATAATGCCACACAATCAGGAGAACCCAGTCATAGCTGCCGCCAGACAATTTCTGCGACCACATCACCCTTTTACATCTGGCAACCTAACTCCCTAGACTGCAACCCCATTCATTATTATGTGTGAGGCACAGTTGAGCAAGAGAGCAGCAAAACTCTTTGTAACACCAAAGATGAACTGAAGGAAAGGATTATGGCAGTATTTACCAACTTAAACAAGAAGGCCATCCAGAAGAGTTGCAGGAGATTCCAAAGTCGTCTGGAGGCTGTGGTTGAAGCCAAGGGTGATTTTATTGACTAAATTTATTCTTTTTTATTTCAAGATATTTTTGTGTCATTTTGATAAATATATCTGTTAAAATGAGATGTCAGTGTTATTTTCATTTTTCCATTATTTACATGACAATTTATCCGCTGCACTCTATACCCCTGAACATTGGATGAGCAAGTCTGCCTACAAAACTCTCAAGCCGGGGGGGATGCTGAAGGTAACATTAATCAGCTAAGTGACAAACTTTTACTCATATTAAACATTATATAAGTCATCCACAGACTGTTTCACGTATCACAGCTCTTCAGAGTGACTAGACACATGATTGTTTCAAGCCAGGATCAAAACTCGGCTGATTTGATATCAGTCAGAGAATCATACTCTTAGGCTCATTATGGAAAAAAGGGAATTTTTGATGCATTATATATGTGATACAAGCATTATCAGCTACCAGAGTTCCCTATTCATTATGAAGAGCTTAGCATTATAGAAGCAGCAGCCATCAAATACCTTTTCTTCTAAAGTGCACAACCGCCAAATGGGTGTCAGCTCTGGGTCATCAATGTTAGTTGGGATCATTACAATCTTTAACAAAATATACAATTGGTATAACTTAGATGCTAAAATGATTCTTTTACTCTAAAATATAAAATTAAAAAAAATCTCTGTGCATGAAATATAAAAAAACCCAAAAAAAACACACATTTTGGTATTTTAATATTAATTGTAATAATTCTATAAAAATAAATATTTATTTTAAACAAATTTTCCAGACATGTAAGAAAAAAATATGTTGTGTATCTATCTCAGGTGTGTGTTTGTATATATGTCTATGCGTTAGTGTGTTTATATATCTGTCTGTGAATTCTTTTATTGATTTATGATCACTACTGCTGACTGATATCATGTTTCCTCAACACTACTCCAATCACAGTCAATGAGTTAAGGCTGCCACTTTGATTTTCGCCAAATTTAAGTCGGGCTAAATTTAATTTGCCCTTTCTCAAAAGATACACTGCACTGAAAAACTTTATACTGTGCAGAATAAATTATTTAAAATGGACATTTGAAAACAATAAGTTGAAATAAAATGTATTCTTTGAAAAACAGGACATACAAGTCATTAGAGATTTTTAAGAGTTTATTCATAAAATTAAAGCAAGAAACACATTACCTCCACTCTAATAGAGCCCAGATTTACACAGCCCGACAAACCACATTAATTTTATTTCATCCTTTTTTTTATTACTTTCATTCTTTGTTTTTTTCTTTCTTTCTTTATTATGAACAATATCAACAAAATTTATTTCTGTCAATATTATGAGGCACTGAGTTAAAACAATTTTGAATACAGCTGAAGTCAAAGTTGAAAACAATGTACTATGAAAGTTTTTTGTTGGTTTGAAATAGATATACATGAATGTTGATTCACTTAGGCTGAGCCTGACAAACCCAAGACACCACTGAGATTATATAATGTGTATATTCACAAGGAGATGCCCAACACACTTCCAAAATCTGATCAATCATGAAATATTATTTGCCAATAAAGATGAGTACAACAGTCTGAACAATGTAAATAGTGTAAATAGTTGCAATACCCCATCTCAGAAATATGTTTTGTATTGGTAAGACCATAATTTTTTAGGGTAATTAAAAAAAATTTAAAAAAAAACAAAACAAAACACTAATTTTATAGGGAATATCTTTAAAATCTGAAGCTAAGAGTTACTCTTAACTTTTTCCCATCATGCATATATTTCAGCCTTGCAAAATAATTTTCAAGTATTTAATGACATATTAGACCCCCCCTCTTTTTTTCCACTCAAATATATCCCCCCACCCCAGTCTTATATGTAAAATTGCAGTATGTCTGTTAAGCTCATGTTTACCAAGACAGTGTAGACTATGGAAAATAGTTGAAAAAGTCTAATTCTGAAACATTGTAATGTTAAACTGAAATACAGAAGCATCTTATATGCCATCAAGAATGTTGAAATAAATTTTTGTCAAAAAATGTTAGTTTCAAGCTAGAAGCACCAACAATCATTATATGCTTAAAGTCTGAGAGCATAGGGGAGCTCTAGATAGAGGTACTATCATTGATGTTTGGCATGCTGCACCTTCAGGTGGCTGGGCATCACAGGTCCTCAACCATCTGTAAAAATCTCTTGCATGATGGTTCCAGGTTGCTATGCCATAGTAAACCACTTCAGCTGGTGGGTTAAAGTCAAATTTGTGAGTGGTATTATCACAGCACCACTGAGTGAGGGACCTCATTAACACAGGTCACCAACCAGGGCAGAAGGGTTCCTCAGATGGGCTCCAAGGCAAACCACCTAGTTGGAGGACTGCTGTGATCTGACCAGGGGGAGAGATGGGCTCTGACAGGTGCCAAGACATGCCACAATGAGCACACCAAGAAATCATTCATGGAGATCCAAGCTCTGGCACATGATTGTAACAGATGGAGGAGAATGTTGGACAGATCAGCACATTGGTGACACAATGACTCCTTCCAGGAGTAAGGGTGAAAGAAGTCTGAGAGCACCTGAATGTGCTTGCAATTCATTAGCACTGTATGTTAATCACATGATCAACTAGAAATGCTGGAACCAAACCCACATCTCATAAACAGCAAGAGGATTAAAATGAAACCCTAATGACATAGAACTGGAAATATTTTGTAAGCCAAATGATTTTCTATGTTTACAAAAAAATGTCAGGGAAACTGCAATTCAAATTTTTCAAAACAGAATGAATAGCAGAACTAAGTAAATCTAAGATTATGAAGAATTCAGTTAAAAAAAAAAAAATTCTCACCTGTGCTGAGAGCAATATTCAAACCCAGGAACAACCCACTTGAATGGTACATTGGTAAAGTGACATATAATACATCGGAACTATTTATTCCAAGAATAAGACTTAATCGAACTGCGCCAAGTAACTTAACATTATAAATGTTACAAGCCTTCGGTAAACCTGCAAAGAAAATAAGAAAAGATTTTTTAAATGCAACAAATTATGTAACCCTTATTTCAATTAACCATGTTAGGTAGAACGATTACCTTGCTACATATATAAATGTAAAAAACATCCTTAGCAATAATATAAAGGACACATGGCTATAAATATGCACTTTTGATTATTTATAGCTAATTTATTTAAGTAATGCACTGACTATTGTTTGCAACATGTAGCAATAATTATAAGTAAAATGATGCACTAAAATAAGTAACCAAGTAATCATTTTAAGTTCTCTAAATGTTGATGTCTTTTACTTTAAATAGCAACAACATGTCAGCAGGTTTTTCTGAAGACAAAAGATTTAGCTTAAAAAAAAATGAATAGTTTCAGTCAGGTATTATTCATGACATCAAGGTAAGGATGAAAATAATTAAAAATAAACTTGTAAATGCTAATTTGAAAGACTTTCTTTTTTTTTTTTTCTTTTTAGCAGTCTTTAAATTTTTTGTTTGTGATGGTATCTAATATTTTGGTACTTTTATAGTCCAGGTACGACACACAGGCAAGATTTTCAATATATTTATAAAAATAGGATACACAATTGTACAGGGTGGTCCGAAGTCTTGTCACCCCTACATAATATAATTTTCTATTTCAGATGGCTGACACAAGCTCCTACAGTTTGGAAGAGGGGCAGCTTGCAAGTGTATAGACACACTTCTCTCAACAGCCCATTGTGGAAGGGGACGTAACTCCTGGTGCTTCGATAGCTCTCCCAGTTCCAGACCCATGCTGACTATTGGCTAATACTTGCCCAGTATCATTCATATGCAAATAGTCAGCACCACCTATTCTAAGTAGAAGGGCTTCTCTCAACAGCCCATTGTGGAAGGGGACGTAACTCCTGGTGCTTCGGTAGCTCTCCCAGTTCCAGACCTTTGCTGACTATTGGCTAATACCTGCCCAGTATCACTCATATCTCTCAACAGCCCATTGTGGAAGGGGACGCAACTCCTGGTGCTTCGATAGCTCTCCCAATTCCAGACCCACTCTGACTATTGGTTTATACCTGCCCAGTATCGTTCATATGCAAATAATCAGCGCCACCTATTCTAAGTAGAATGGCTTCTCTCAACAGCCCATTGTGGAAGGGGACGCAACTCATGGTGCTTCGATAGCTCTCCCAATTCCAGACCCACTCTGACTATTGGTTTATACCTGCCCAGTATCGTTCATATGCAAATAATCAGCGCCACCTATTCTAAGTAGAAGGGCTTCTCTCAACAGCCGATTGTGGAAGGGGATGCAACTCCTGGTGCTCACAGCACCACATACAACCAACTTGGAGTCTTTTGACGGGCTGACCCGATTCACTGTTACCCCCCCCCCCCAATCTCCTGATCACAGCACCAACATGCAGGGATCCAGCCATTTCCTTCTGTGGGGAGGAGGTACTTCATTCTCCGTGTTGTTGCTATCCATCTCCACCATGGTAGGAGGTGAATCAAAAAATCTGGAAATCTCTCCCCAACTCCCCATTTCTCATGGATGAATCATCAGTTTCGTTTGCAGCAGAGCATTGGTCCCATGCAGGTCAGAGGTCTTTAACATGGCATGGCATGCCATCAATCAGGACAGAATGTGGACTAATGACCCCCAGTAACATTCCGATCTCTGATCTCTTCCTAAAGACAAGATATATTTCTGAAACTGTTCTAGAATCTACACTTTCATAGCCCATTTGATATTTTGTTCAGGGCCCATGGATACTGACTGGAATAAAATAAAAATATAGTATTTAAAGAAAAAATCATGCAAAGATGCAAAACAATTTCATGGGATAAAGATCACAAATTGATTGACTTGGATGAAATTTATTATAAAGCAGAAGACATTTATAAGGCTGGATAATTTAGGGCAGATAATAAATCTTATGAACGCCTTAAAAGGGAAAAATATCCAGAAAAGTGACTAGCGTAATTATTCATATAAGTTTCATGTCTTTTTGTTCTGTCTTTTTTTTGGGGAAAACAATCCAAATTATTTTCAAGAGACAAAAGAAATAAAGAAAGAAGTAAATGGCTTACCTGTTGTACCAGATGTGTATATATAACAGCTAATGGACATCTTGTTTATTAAGTCTCTCATAGAAGGATGAATGGGTTTAATGGATGCAGTACTGAGAATTTTATCAAATGATTTGAAAAATGGGCTGATACGGACGTTTTCATTGTTAACACTTGAACAGGCAACATAAATGTCTAAATTTTTGTCTAACTGGTCCTTGATGTTTTCTATGTTAGCTTGAATCGTTGCATCTGCAAAACAAGAATTCAAAGAGACTTAGAGTAAGTAATTGGTTCATCAAATAGCCTCTCGATGTCATCCGTTCTCAAATTGGTATCTGTGCTGATGGCACAACTATTTACTCCTTTCTTAATAGTAAGTCTAATTGGTTCAATACAGTGAAATTTGCAGCTGATCTCAAAAATGACCTACAATTTATTGCTAACTGGGATAAGAAATGGCTTGTTAATTTTAATGCCTTCAAAATGATTGATACTGCTCTCTTTTAATCCTCTTAGAAAAATCTTTTTGCTGCCTTCCATCAGCATGACTGATGCTAACCTCCAGGAGAATGGTTCATTGTGCCTGTAGTGAGATGCAAATTAGTATAATTTGCATATGAGCAGGTAGAATGCTTACTTAGCAATATACACGACACAACAATGGCGTCGCCGATAGGATACTCTTTGGTCCTTGAAGACCCAGAGTACGTAGATACGTGGATTTGTTGCTTTGCTGCGAATGCAAGATGTAAAAAGTTGAAAGACAACAAAAACAGAGGAGGGGAAAATGAAATCACCAACTTGTTCATGGCTACCGCTGGTTGTGAAGCGATTATGAAGGTTGCTACAATGGTTTACCCTCAAGAACAAGAAGAAATGACTTTCAAGAAATAAGTCAGGTTATTAAAAAAAGAAACATGAGGCCAAAGAAAAGACTGGTGATTGCAGAAAGGACCAAGTTTATGGCAATGAAGCAGGAAGTGGATGAACCGATAGTAAAATATTTACACCGGTTAAGAAGTGCGAGTAAATACCGTGAATTCGAAAAACTAGGAACAGGAGAGCAGACAACGGAAGAAGAATTAATCCAACTAAGATTAATTGAAGGTATGCATAATTCAACACATAGATATAAGTTAATGGAACAGTTACAACTTACAAACATGCCTTTGAATATGTGTATAGAATTTATACAACAGCAGGAATTAATACATACCTACAACCAAAATAAAAATAAATCCTATGGCTGAAACATATATGGTACAACCAAAAAGAAAAAATTGTGCGTGCTGTGGAAAAATTCATGAAATGAAAAAAGAAAAATGCCCAGCCTTTGGAAAGACATGTTCAAAGTGTTTAAAAAAAAAAAATCACTTCAAAGAAGTATGTAAAACAAAAAATGTGGAAAGAGTAGAGGATGAAAATAAGACAGATTTTTAATGTAAAAAAGGATAATATACAAAATACTGGATCTAAGAACGGAGATACAAAAATAAAAGTGAAAATCAATGACTGTATTGTCGAAATGCAAATCGACACAGGTAGTGAAGTCACGATAGTACCCAGAAATTTGTGGGAAAAAATGGGAAAACCATTTTTAAAAAAAAACCAACGTACAATTACGTCAGTTTGATGGCTCGATTATAGCAATCATGGGTTACTTTGAAGGTTCAATAGAACTAAAAAGAAAATATGAAATAGTACTCATTATAGTTACAAATTACCAAAAAACGCATGGACTATTGGGGAATGACGTGTTAAAAATAAATTCAACAAAGTTGATGAGATAGAAATAGAAAAAACAGGAAAATTAAAAATTATGAAGCTAGCCTGAAATTAAAAGAAAATGTTTCCCCCTCCTACTACGAAGCGAGAATAATACCAGTGCATTTATTACCGTTGGTAATAGCTAAATTCTGCAAAGCTAATAAAGGAAGACTTATTAGAACCTGCCCCTCCAGGAGGAAGTAAATGGGCATCACCCATTGTGGTATTGAAAAAAAAAGATGGTGACCTGAGAATTTGTGGAGATTATAAAATAGGGGTGAACCATAAAGTTTGTGCTTTACTTCGTACCCTATTTCGAATGTGGAAGTAGCTTTACATAAACTTGCTGGAATGAAAGTATTTTCGAAGATAGACCTAAAATCAGCTTACCACCAAATACCAATAAATGAAAATTTTAAAGAAGTGACAACTATAAACACACCTATAGGCCTATTAAGGTGGAAAAGAATGCCGTATGGCATAAAAACGGCAAATGCAATTTTTCAAAAAGCTATTGAAAAAGTAATAGGAAATGTTGAAAATACCATCTGTTATCAAGACGATATATGTGTTGGAGATTTAAATGAAGATGATTTAAAGAAAAAATTGAAAATATACTGAACCCATTAAAGAGGCGCTGGTATGACAATAAATACAAAAAGTGTGTAACCAACAGTAATGAAATATCATTTTTGGGTTACCTCAATATCAAAGAAGGATCTCTCAGATAAAGTACTAATAGAAAATTCTAAAAGTTGCTACACCGAAAAATAAAAAAAAGAGTTGGAGTCCTTCTTAGGTTTGGTAAATTTTTATAGAAAATATGTACCAAAATATAATGAGTTGACAGAACCATTTGCTAAGAAAAAAAAATGTGGAATTCATTTGGTTAGAACACCAACAGAAAGCCTTTGAAAACTTAAAACAGATTCTGGCAAAAAAGCCAATAGTACAAATTTTTTGACCCTAAGAAGGACATAACTCTAACTACTGGCGCTAGTGAGCAGTCCATATCTGGTATTTTGTCACAAGATGGGCATCCCATAATGTACTTATTGAGGAGATTAACAACAACTGAACACAATTATTCGAATATAGAAAAGGAGGCACTAGCCATAGTGTGGACAACGGATAGAAACAAGACAGTTTTGATGGGAAAAAAATTCTTGTTGAAAAGTGATCACAGACCACTGGAATTTATTTTCAACCCAAGAAAAGAGCTACCGAAAGTTACAACGTCCAGAATGTTACGTTGGGTGATTAGACTGATGGCGTTAAACTTTGACATTGAATATGTTAAAGGGAATACGATACCGATACGTTGATGCCTTATCTAGATTGAGGTTTTATAGAGAGGAAAAGGACAAAAATGACGAGGAATTTGAAGACACATTCTTGCACCTTGTAGAAACCGATGTAATATCTGTAGATAAAATGGCTACTGAAACTACAAATGACCCAGTGTTAAATAGAATAACGTCGAGGATAAAACAGAATCGCTGGGGAAATTGTTCAATGGCTGAAAAGACCATTCAAAGAAATTAGACATAGAATGACTATAGAAAACGGGATAATATGTAATGGAGACTTGGTAGTTCCCCAGAAACACAGAGGAGACAGGTTATAAAAAGTGTACACGATGGCGTACATTGTGGAGTGGCAGCTACGCAAAAGAAGATTAAAATTGGAGCGTGGTGGCGGGGTACTCAAGAGACGTGAAGACTACATAAAAAAGATGCAAAAATGCACAGAACTCAGGAATTTTAAGCAAAAGAAAATACATGTATGGCCCCGAGAAGCAGAACCATGGAGCAGAGTACACATGAACCATGCCTATGTCAATGGGATAGGACTATTATTAATATTAGTAGACACATATTCAGATTGGCCTGAAGTGGTGAGAGTACCTGATAAAAAAAAAGTACCACCGTAAAACAAATATTAAGAGTAATATATTTTAGAGGAATGGGACACGAGAACATTGGTGACTGATAACGCACCAGAATTTGTGGATGCTGATTTGCATGAATGGCTAAGAAAAATAGGATGCAGACCTTACAAGACCCCTCCCTACCATCCTCAAAGTAATGGGACAGCGGAAAGGATGGTCCAGACGGTAAAGAAGGGCATAAAAGCATGCTTGCAACAGAAGGAGGAAATCGATGCTTTTCTACCAAGACTACTATTAAGTTACAGAACAATTCCACATGCAGGCAGGCGGAAAAGTCAATCTGCCTTAATGGGCAGACAATTAAGGTCCCCTTTGACTATGTCATATGCCACAAATCAAAAGATGTGATACAAAAGAAATAGGAATATGCAACCCGAGTCAGCCGAATTTATTATGCAGAAAGGACATAATACTGCAATATTAAATAAAGAAAATGGGAACAGTATTCTAGCTCATGCTGACCAAATAAGATCCCAAGGAGAAGAATCGGATGAGGAAATGCCTTCAGAGATGCCCATTATTGATGTAACAGAAGAGTTAATGCAGAATGAAACTGCGGAGGAAGAAGTAGAGAGGGATGAGTTAGAAGAGGAAGAAGTAGAATGGGATAAGTTAGAAGAGAAAGACCAGAGTATGCAAGAGGAACAGTTCGATTATAGGGAAAGACGTGATAGATCTAGATCTCCAAGGGAAAGGAGAGAGATAAAGGAAGATGTTCAGGAGGGCACAAGAAGAAGTACAAGAAGTACTCGCGGCATAAGGCCCCTCCGTTATAAGGAGATGTAGTGAGATGCAAATTAGTATAATTTGCATATGAGCAGGTAGCTCATATGATAAACGGACACCAACTAGAACAGAGGTCGAATGCTTACTTAGCAATATACACGACACAACAGTGCCTTCTCAAGCTGACATTTTCTGCTTACATGAAGTGGAAAGATTATATTGACTCAAGTGCTAGGTCTGCTGTTAGTAAAGCTGGTTCACTGTGTTGTACTAGGCAATTTTTCTCACTAGAATCCATCTTGCACATTTATAAAGTGATCATTTGTTCATGCATTGAATATTCCTACCATATTTGGTCTGGAGCTTTTGCTATGTTTTTAAATATTCTTGATAAAATCCAAAGAAGAATCTTCAATGTTATTGGCATTGACTACAGTCACATTTCTATCCCCATCACATAGCAGCTTCCCTCTTCTATAAATATTTTCATGGTAATTGTTCTGATGAGCTTTCCTCATTGGTACCTCGACTTTATGAATTTAAGTGCAGTACTAGATTGGCAGCTAGGTCTCATCACTTTACTGTTGAAATGGCTAGATGTAACTGTAAGTTCTATGCTAACAGTTTCTTCTCTTACACTTTTGTCTTGTGGAACTCTCTTATTGGTTTCTAGTCAACTTTGATCTTCAAAAATTTAAATGCAATTTTTAATCGTCATCTATCTCCTTGAAGGCTGTTCTTTTATTGTCCTCTCTGTTTCTTTCACTTTCAATAACCCCCTTGCATCCTTGGGGGTGAAATAATTAGCTACATATGTAATATCAGCATATTCCGTTGAACCAGAATTGTGTCCAGACACCCTTTTCTTTTTAGTGATATCATTCAACAACATTTGAAAAATAAACTTTGCCCAATTCATGCATTTCAAATCTTTAAGCAACATTTAGCAAAAACCTTCCAAATTTTCATAAAGATTTAAATATTTTGATTTTAAGTCAAGATTATAATAAAGTCCAACCTTTTTACCCAACAAATTAATTAACTTTTCAACTGAAAGTAGAAATGCTGTCTATGAATGTCATAATAAAAGTAACAAAAGATAAGGATACTCGTCCTTCAAAATTACTGAAAGAGAATGTTATGGAGGTGAGGGACATCACCAAATTAGTACCTTCAAAAACTAACAACTGGTACTTCAATATCAACGCAAAGTCAAACTTTCTATATAAAATAAATCTTATTACAACAAATGGAAGAAGAAACTAATTCCATAACCCAAGAAAAATGGCCACTCAGTGCCCAGTTTCAGACTCACAGTTATTAACAAACAATATTAATAATTAATCGTATTAATAATAGCTAATTTCAAAATGCAATTGAATAGAGAAAATAAAACAAAAATGTGAAGTAAGTTCCATTCAGACAAATTCCCACCCACCGGTCCAGACTCCCGAGAGGATGCTTCCCTGAACACTACAATCTTAACCTCTTCAAATCTATCCTCCTTATCTTTTAGCTCTTCTTACATTGATATATCACACACTTCATTCAATAACCCTCTATTATGAGTGACTCTTGAGCCTGTATTGGTTGAACTGGAATATTAAAGAAAAAAAAGAAAATAGAAAGGAAAATAAAAAATTTTAAAACCAAAAAACAAATTTCTGTCCTTTGTAACCTAAGGTGCAACCATTCTTGTAAACATACTTTGATACAATGAAGGCCATACTTGTGTTCTGTGAATATCCCCCACCCCACAATCTACCAGTGAAGTCCAGGGTAATCCCTAGAAAATTAGATGATCATTTCGAGGTACAACCTATATGCAGAAAGGGACAGCAATTTTGGGTTTAAGGTTATTTTACAAATCAAAAAATACGGTGTGTGTGTGTGTGAAAAAATGCACAATTACTTTTTCTTTTTTTTTTTTGCAAAGGTTTCATAAAAGTTAGCTCTGCATTCTGACCAAGAAGTGATTTATTTTGCACTTTTAATCTATAAGAACAGAATTAATTTAAGAGTTGGATGATCAAAAAATAATGCTGTTACAAAATGTAAATCTTACAAAGCAATTAACATATAATCAGTGTCTTACTTAATTTTTGTTATAGTAAAGAAAATACTGTCAACTGATAGTAGCAACTGCAATAGATTTCTTGTTTCTCGGCCACAACACTTGTAGCCAGATCGCAGTTCACACGATAGTCCGACGTAACAGTCCGACACACACCGTAGAAACGACAAAATGGGGTCACAAATCTAACCTTCACTTCTCGCCAACAACAAACCCGTGTTCGTTCCACAGCTCAAAAAAATCATCTCTTTTTATAAGCGAAAAACAATGACTTTTGTTCACCAAGAGAATTTTCTGATTGGTCATGAACATTAGCATAGCTTCTTGTCATTGATATAGATCTTTGCTGACTACTTTTTGGTAATTTTTCTTCAGCAGATCGCACACAAAACACGAACTTTTTTTCGGGGTAACTGATTATCTCTTTCACTACAATTTTATTTTAAAAAATTAAATTAAGGTCACTGATTGCTATAGTTTGCTTTGTAATTATTTTTAATTTCAGTGTGAAAGTTAACATTATGAAATATGCCACCTGTTGATTAAAATGTAAATTAAATGTGTGAATCTTTCCAATAAACCAGTTATTAGTCTTCCTCAAACACTGTCACTCAACTTTTTAAAAACTGAATGTGAATCAAATACTTTAGAAATTGAAAAACTATTTGTTGCTAACTTATTGTCTGAAACTGATTATTTACAACTACAAGACGGAGGCGATGGTGTAAGGGACGTAATTCAGAAATAAGTAGTAAGGGACGTAATTCTAGATGAAGTGTAAAGGAAAAGCACAAAATTGACAAATAATTGAAACTAGAGAATCAATATAACTTTGTTTTTCAAAGAAAAATCGAGAGATTAAAATTAAATAATGAAATCAATGCTGTTAAATGAGATTCAACGTGAATAAAAACAATTTGACTAGAAACAAATGAAAATAGACCGACTATCAATCGACTCAAAAAAAGCAGTCATAAAAAAGTTGCCTTTTCCAGATGCTCACTAAATCCTTTTTTCCACTCTTTTGTAATTTGCTTTTTGATATTTCAATTTTTTTAGGGGCCTTTATGTTTTCCCTTCACATCAACCAGTCTTACTAAATGTTAAAAAAAAATTGTGGACTGAACAAGTAAGTGGACATGCAATTAAATAAAATGTGACCATGTTAATAAATTATAAAATTGTTTTGCTTATATAAAAAAAAACGCTTTCTTTCAGTGTCACAGGCATAAGTAAATAGGGAAGCATCAACAGCTTCAGTAAAAGAAACAGGAAAAGACAAAACAACAACAAAAAAACAAAACAATTTAGACAACTATTGGAATAGGATGGCTACATGGCAGCTATCCACTTCATTTGACATCTTTCTGATTTGAAATTCCTTTAATATTTTACACAATTTCATGTAACATTGAAGTGTAGAAGGACTCCCGCCCAAAAGTTAACATCTTCAAAGATGCAATTGATAAGCAAATCAACTGTTCATAAACTGACTGACTTAGCCTCTTACAAACATAGTTGAATGACTAATGGAGTTTGGGACGTAATTACATACTATTGTGGACTCATCCATTATCCTTACCTTTCCAACCTAACAAAAGCAGAGCCCAAAACGTACGCCTACGTACCTAAAAGCTTCAACCAATAGAAATGGCGAAAATCGAAGCAAGCAACTCCATTGGTCAATCGTTTACAGAAACAGAAATTGCGCCAAAACGAGTTGAGCCACTTTTGGAAACTCAAATAATATAAAAGGAAAAACGTTTGAACCTTCAGTGGAAGCGGAGAAGCAGAGTAGCTGTAATTACCAACCTTCAAGATGTAACATTTCACCCGACTCCGTCTTAGTCATCGCTGACCAGACGTTAAAAATTACCAACTTCATTCAGTCAGTCTCGCTAACTCACCGAGTAATTGCTAAAATACTCCTGACGTTTGAACCATAATTTTGCCGCTTTCAAAGAACATTCACTGACTCACTCCGAACATTGACGAACGACTCTTGAACCTTTTACTTAGTTCCTTATATATAATGAATTATATTCATTACTAAGATAAGGAATACAAATACGATTAAGGGTAGACTACTTGAACAAACTCTTTTCAGAACCTTTAAATTTCACTATCACAATCTTCGACACAAACAAGAAATTAACGAACATTACAAAACAAGAGACATTCATTATTTCAAACATACACATACAACTTACGCACACAACTCACACAGATTTTATTCCAGATTGTAAATGACAATTGTATATAAATGTTGTATTGTTTTTAATCTATATATGTCTCGTTTTTCTTGCTTTGAACATAACGATTGTTTGTTTATTTGTTTGGGACGCAGTGAAACACACAACCATTAACAACAAATCCTTCTGATAGATTTAACGACACTAATGTCCCAACACTATATTTATTACACTCAATAATAGTTAAACAAACGTCAGTAAGGCTGAGAGCACAACAGACTGCCAGTCAGCCTGGGGCTACAACGACCAAAACATTGCATCCTGGTCCCAACAGAAATGTATATTCCTGATTTCTTTCAACATCTTTTCCTTACTCTGCCCTTCAGGCTTAATGCTTCCTCTTTTAATAATTTGGGAAAATGACCGCACCCACCACCTCCACTTAATGCAAGATTAACCCAGGAGGGAAACAGAATTAAGCAGACAGGCTAGAAAATTTTTTAAAAAAATAAATAAAAAAAAATAAAAAAAACACAAAAGGAAATAAACATCATAAAGACATAAGAAAAATCAACTGAGAACCAGTTTCACAAGGGAAGCAATGATTTATCAACAAGAAAAATAAAAAGGGTTAATAAGAGAAATTTATTCATGACTGGGTACATTATTTATAAGAATAAAGTTGATAGTCTCTTCTGTCTGTTACCATGGTAACTGACAGTTAATGACAAGGCCAACAAAGTTCTCTTTTTGTGTGTTTGTAGGGGGGGTATTGTAGTACAAGATAGGAGATAAAGAGAAAAGAGAAATCTGATATCCAAAGTTGGCCAAAGTAGTTGCAGCTGAATGACAAATTCAAAAGTTTACAGCTTAAAAAAGTTCATGGAATTAGACATTTATAGAGTTTGACAGTCTGCACAGGGTCAAGATAGTGGAGTACCTCAAGATGAGTGAACACACTACAAAAGCAATCATTTACATCAACTTTAAACTTGATAAACATTGCTTTCAGACAGCCACCTGGATAAATATTAAACTCAGTCTGGCAAAAGGCCAATGATTCAGGTGCACACTGTGAGTATCAAATTCATGATACAAGTGTAGGTCCTCAACACTTGCTAAATTACCAAATAAAAAAAAATTGGGACAAAAGAAGAAATGAAACTTAAACCAAATTTTGTTCAGCTTTTTTTCTTTTTTCTTTATAGAAGACATTCACATTTGTATGCTGATTGAATTTGTTACAAAGATAAGGGTACTTACCGCTGTCAATGATGAAAAGTTTGGGGTTGATTGTCTGGATTGAGTGGATAAGTCCAAAACTTTGCAAGTTGTAGTTCTGAAATGATGGAATAGCTCCAATCTTAGAAAGTCCTGGAATGAATAATTGGATTCATTTTCAGAAAAAAAACAATTCCAGATAACAGAAAACTAAAAAGAGAAAGTAATTTGTTAAATTAAACTGAGATTTAATAGGGGAAAATAGTCATTAATTTGAGCCAGAAATATTGTAAACATTCCAGGTACATGAAAAATATGGAAATTACTGAGGAGTTTTAAGGAGGAGTTAAGAGAAATGATTAACTTGTTAAGGAGTTCAAGTTTGCTTAACTTGTTAAGGAGTTCAAGTTTGCTTAACTTGTTAAGGAGTTCAAGTTTGTTAACTTGTTAAGGAGTTCAAGTTTGCTTAACTTGGAGTTCAAGTTTGCTTAACTTGTTAAGGAGTTCAAGTTTGCTTAACTTGTTAAGGAGTTCAAGTTTGCTTAACTTGTTAAGGAGTTCAAGTTTGCTTAACTTGTTAAGGAGTTCAAGTTTGCTTAACTTGTTAAGGAGTTCAAGTTTGCTTAACTTGTTAAGGAGTTCAAGTTTGCTTAACTTGTTAAGGAGTTCAAGTTTGCTTAACTTGAAATGTTTAACTGAGAAATCAGTACGAAAACATTTTGACAGACAAGATGATAGAAAAGAACAGACAAGTGGATACAAAAGGACAGACATGAGGATACAAAAGGCATGACAAAACATGCTGAATGGATCAGGTGAAATGTTGTTCTGAAACAAAAATAGATGAGCATTTATAGTGTGCATCATCTATGGAATAATGAAAATATTGAATCTCAGTACTTAAGAAAACATTTAAAACTTTGCAACAAATGCACTCAAGGAAAGGTTCAGAATGGATCATATGTATGCTACAATAAAAAAGATTTTAAAAATCAAACTTAAAATTATAAAATGTTTCTAATAAACACGCACAGAGACAACCAACAATTTTTGTTAAATTCAACCTATAATTTTTGTATTTTTCCAATTTTAGAATAAGATATTGTATCACCAAATCAAAATTGTGGAAAAAATGACTGAAGTTCATGTTTTATTCAAGTACTTTTGACTGTTTCATTCATTATCAAGAACCGGGTGTTGCTTGTGTGATAGACAAGATTTTGTTGACAGTTTTTGATTCCAATGCACATCTTATTTGAAAGCATAAAAAATATAATAGAATATTAAACACACAATTGACAGTTGGATTTAACAGAAATGGTTGAATTCTTGCTACATTCTATATATATTCTATATATATATATATATATATATATGTGATTAGAGCAAGAGAGGGCATAGGAATCTATTGATTCAGATTTCCATACTGTTTGTATGTATAAATGCTTTATCTGCAATATTGAGCACTTTTCTTTTTATCAGGAGATTGGAGGATTTAAGGAGTGTGAAACCACCTTTTATTCCCAGGTCAGCCCTGACCCGGGGTAGTAGGGTCCCAGCTATGGGAAAATAGTGCCTACCAGGGCTGATCAGGATCTTTAGTGTTATAGCACACGTCTGGTCTAGAAGATGGAAAACTTACGCGAAAAGCCTGAGGTCTGCTTTCGTCTGTGACATTTATTTCCACCGACTGAGTGTATCAATAGTTCCGAAAAGTGTGGATTTTTCTACACAAGCCCTCGCCACTTTAATCAAATGACTTGTGTGGGTTTTCTGGCGGTTTACCCTGATTCGTTCGTTCTTATCCATACAGTTACCTTGCAAGGTCCACTGGTGAGAGAGTGAAGGCGACAGGGTCATGTAAAGGATATGACTGGAAGGCTCTAACTGGAGCTCTACACAATGGCAGACCGATGGGTGATGGCTGTACTTTTACAAACCCATGAGCAATTGTGATGTCCATATCCTCCATTGGTGACAAAGCAGCCCTATTTGGGATCTGCACTGCTTTCCTTATTATAGGGAGGGGGCAAAAAAAAGGAGCCCTAAACATTGCTTGTTCACACAGAAACTTGGCAGTTCAATGCAGCTGTCTGGTTATCCAATAACACTGTCGAAGCAGCAAGAAAGATCAAAAGAAATATAAGAAGAATTTTCATTTCAGATCCTGGAATGTTCACACTCTCCAGGACAATGATTCTGCACCAGAGTGCGAAACAGCTCTTGTGTCTCTCGAAGAAATATAATATTGACATAGCAGCCATTAGTGAAACACATCTGGCTGGCAATTCTCAGCTTAGGGAAGCAAAAGGTAGATTCGTGTTTTTATGGGCTGGCAAAACTGAGAAAGAGCCACGCCAATCCGGTGTTGGCTTCACCATCAAATCAGATCTTGCGGGCTGACTGCCTTCCTTGCCTAAAGGTGTATCAGATTGTATAACGACATTAACCCTCAATCTGGAATGCAACACCTGTGTGACGATGGTTTGCTGCTACACTCCAACCTCAGATAGTTCAGAGCAAGAAAAAAATTATTTTTACGACCTCCTTTGGGATGTCATCTCCAAAATCCAACATAAGAATGAATTAATCCTTACAGGTAACTTCAATTCTTGGAAGGGCATTTTAGGTCAACATGGTATTCGTCATGTGAATTCAAATGGATTATGCCTTCTCACTATATGCAAGTAATTTGACCTTAGTATTACTAATACCTTCTACCATCAACCCAGTTGGTAGAAGGTAAACTTGATGCTGCACTTGATTCTGTAAACATTAACAATGATATCAAATCATCTTGGAAGGCTCTGCAGGATGCAACACATTCTGCATCTGTGGTGTGTAACGCAACAATTCAACTGATGATAGCAGGTAGGCACAAAGAAAACCGGTGACGCACGTCCAACCTTCTCACGAGCTGAAAGCCCTCTGATCTGAAACAGCAAAACGAGCCTGCTTTATACAGCCGCGGGACCGACCACGATTTGCATGCATGCGAATCACGAGGCAACGAGATTTCGCGTTAACTAACCGAGACCGCCCGGCATAAAACATGGGCGCTGCCATTTTGGTTTTCTTTTTTACCGCTGGAAGGACCAGAGTTTGCATACTGCGCAGATTCGAACGCGTTTCCGAGGTAAGCCATTTTCACAATTTTCCCCACCCCGATCTCATGATCACAAACAGGGCAGGGAGGTGGCGATCGTCGCCGTCGAGTCCCTCTCCGAAGGGGGATAACACAAGCTTCATCCTCGTCGTGTTCTCGTCTGTGGTTTGAGTGTCGGTAAACACTGTAATCGCCGGGAGGCTGCTGTTATCAGAATCACTGCCCTGCAGGTCTAACTCAAGGCAGATTGAACGCTCACTACTCCCAGACTCGAATCGCTTTCATCGCCGGTAGCGGTAGTGATTGCGTCACCGGTCGCAAGTCTTTAATGTGACGAGGCACCCCATCAACTCTCACAGATTGCGGGCTGATAACCTCCGTGCTACGTCCAGTGCCGTACTTTTTGTCGTACACTTGCCGCGTGGGTTTTGACCCAAACAACGTCTCCTTTTTTCAATCTCCCTCCAGTCACTTCTAGTTCAGGCAGCGGGTTGGCTTGGCGCCTTTCACGCCGGACATGATATTTGTGCAGTGCATCAGCCGCGCCGTGGATGGTGAAATGTTATCTTTCGGGCGACATTATACCAGTAAACCGCTTCGATACTGTACAGCCCTTCCTGGCTGCGATGGTCTTGATGGTTCTGTGGTTCCGCCCACGATGCCGTTTCCACTTGGCGGTAGGCACATCGAAACTGCAGATGCACGTCCCAAGTGTCCGCAAATTCTTTAAAATCTTTACTGGTGAACGGTATCGTTATCCGTCAGTATTTCCACGGGTGAGCCTCGGCTCCAGGAAAACATTCTCCAACAGTCGAATGACGGTGCTTTCGCGTCTTGTCTGCGCAGCGGCCGCCATACCGCAAAACCTGGAGGGACCGCAATCAATGAGTGTTAAAAATTCTCACCATTGTAGTGAGTTATGTCCATTGCCAGTCTGCTCCAGTTGCTCTTCACGCTCAGTTCTCCTCTTTCCCAGTGAACAGGTGCCGGATCGATCGACTGACAGGTTGTGCAGGCCTTCACAACAGATTTAACACTTTCTCTGGACACCTGCGGGTCGACTAACCTGGCGAAGTACAGAGTTCGTTTCACGCCCGGATGTCCGCATTGACGATGCGTATTGGCAACCTGGTCCTCATCCAGTCGTTTCCCTGCCACTGCACAGCTCTCGAGTGCCGGTTCTCCTCTCTTGAGCAGTTCTAGCCACCTGTGCGGTACTCTGGTGAGGCGATCCGCACGGTTCTGACAGGACTGCACGAGTGTCACGTCTACAGTCAATCCATATTCCTCCACCAGCGATCACAAAATGCCCAGCCGTCGCCTGACCAGCATCTCACCAGCTGCCCTTGTGTTCACCCGTGTCTTCCCGGTCAAGGTGTCTGAAATCCACCGGTGCACACACGCCGAATCAGTAACCAAGTGCAACGTTGTCGCCTACCACTGGAGAGCTAGATTCACTCCTTTAAGCGCCGCATCGAATTCAGCCAAATTAATATGCCTGGCATCATTAGTCAGACGCAGCCAGCACGCATCTTCGATAACATTTCCGTTTACTTCCAATGCCACTCCTGTCGCCACGGAACTCGCATCCACCCAGACTGTGATCTCATCACCACTCATGCACCAGTCTCCTCCGACGGGATCCAGTTCCCACACTCTACTTAACATCTCTGCTAGTATGCGACAGAGAGAGGGATCTTTGATGTTATCATCCCATCCATTGGTTGCTGCGGTTGCCAGGCGCTTGACGAATGCAACTGCCACCCTGAGCCATCCACACACTGGGAAGTGTCCAACAAGTTTCCCACACAATGAAAATACGCGCCGCCGGGTCAACACATCAGGGGCTTCCGGGTGCCATTTTCTTCCCAGACTTGCAAGCCAAGAACTCTTGCTCCATGTCTCAGTCGCACCGGATCCTTGCACACCAAACCGTAATCCGAAAAAGTGTTGTCTTACACGCCGATGCAGAGGCCAAACTTTCATTAATGAAGATATCATCAACGTATGCTGATGTGGCACTTTCAATTGTGCGGTCTTGCGGCGCGATGGCGTCTATAACGGATTTCATGATGAGTGACGCTACATTTAGCCCAAATCCTAGCCGCCAGAAGACAGAAGCGTTGGCCTTTGAAAATAACCGTTTGAAATGGCCTGGCGCTTCGTCGATGTGAATCTGAAGATATGCGTTCCGCAGATCCAGAAGCGACACATTGACTCCCTGCCGCCGCCACGTTCTCAACTTATGTGCACACACTTCTGCATCAGCAGTGAAAGCATCCACAAAGTCGCTCAATTCGCGGTAATCGAGTACCGGACGCACCTTCTGTTTCTGCTCCTGCACGACCGCCATCAAGGGAATCAGACCCTTTGGGGGTCCCAGTCTTTCCTGGGGTACGGAATCAGCCAGCCGCTCGCAATCCACTGCTGAAGCTCTTTCTCGTATTTTCCTCTGATGCTGTCGGGAACTTTGTACTCTGCGACCTTGTTGCGGAAAGCTGAACTGGCGGGTTTTTTGGGCCCATTTCACCTGGCGTCCACACCCTCTCGCCGGAATTGAAGGAGACGCCGAAACCGCTCACTAATGCAAAGGGCTGCACACCTTTCTTCTTTCACCCAGTTCCACATTTCCGGCTGGCGTGATCATCATGCCTCCTAACGCCGGATCGCATCAATCCCAAGTAGCAGGTCGTACCGAGGGGCCTTTGACGCGCCACCAAGACGTCGACTTTGGCATGACTCCCTCCGTCTGTTAGGACTGACACAGTCCCGACACCACAACAGGCCGGGACACCCCTGTCAATCGTCCGAATCTCGATTTGTTGACTGTTCCATGTCACGCATCGATCCGCACTAACGATCGATCGGGAACATCCAGTGTCAACGAGCGCCGAACATCGTTTACCCTCAACGTACACGTTGATAACAGGCAATGCCGTGATTTACTGACCGAGGGGGGCAGGGTTGCGACAGCACCTTGTCCCCGGACTCGCGTTCCCCGAGCAATCCTGTGCTACATGGCTAACTCTTTGCAGCGATAGCAGCGTAGTCGCGCTCGGTTCCGCCTGCTGCTCCCACTCCGCCACTTCGGCCCGCAGTCCTAGAGAAAATGGTTGGGTCCACTGCACTTGTAGCACTTTGGGCCCCTCCCTCGTGTCTCAGGCGTTCGACGGCTGCCGCGACCTGTTCCGTGGTCCTTCAAGATGTTTCGGGCCCTGGCTAGCAATTCGTCAATTCCCAGTGTGTCCAATCTTGAAGACGCCGCAGGAGCCGACTGGTGTCATCGGGAAGCCCTGCCAGGAAGGCGCACCCCAGTATGCGGTCCGTTGTTCGCCAAACGGTACTGCCAGCCTTCGCAAATCAGCCAGGTAAACATCCACGGTCTCACCCAGCTCGAGCCGCCGTCCACAAACTGTTTCAAGCGATGAATGGGTCTATTCCAAAGGCCGTATACAGGGCGTCCTTGATCTCTTCTAGGTCAGCATCGTCCCGAAGTTGTTGATATACTGCGAGGCTCCTCCCGTGAGTCTCAGTGGGATGACAAGTGCAGGTTCCTTTATTTTGGACACCCTGCAAACACGTTCGGGCTTTTTTTCAAACCATTCGGCGATAGTCGGGCCCGTGGGGAGCCGTCGATTTCTGGGATCAATTTTAGATCGAACTTGTCCATTGCCGAAATAGCTTGTGGTGTGTAACCCAACAATTCAACTGATGATAGCAGGTAGGCACAAAGAAAACCGGTGTCGCACGTCCAACCTTCTCACAAGCTGAAAGCCCTCTGATCTGAAACAGCAAAAACGAGCCTGCTTTATACAGCCGCGGACCGACCACGATTTGCATGCGAATCACGAGGCAACATGATTTTCGCGTTAACTAACCGAGACCGCCCGGCATAAAACGTGGGCGCCGCCATTTTGGTTTTCTTTTTACCGTTGGAAGGACCAGAGTTTGCATACTGCGCAGATTCGAACGCGTTTCCGAGGTAAGCCATTTTCACAATTTTCCCCACACGGCCTACCACATCGTAAACATCATGAGTGGTTCAATAACAATAATACAGAGGTTCAGCTTATAGTTCAAATGCATTCTTCTCATAAAGCATGGATTGAAGATAAGAACTCGTCCGATAAGAAGATAGCTTACAAGAAGTGAAAAAGTCAGGTTCAACAAGTTCTCAGAGCCATGAAAGAGCGTTGGTGGTCTGAAAAGGCCACTGAACTCCAAGAAGCTTCAGATAGATGTAAAGGCTTTCTATGCTGACCTCAAGAGCGTTTTCAGTCCTCAGAAAAGTGGTGTTTCTCCAACCTCCACAGCAGATGGTGAAACTCTCTTGATGGATAAGTCAGACATTTTGGATTGCTGGAAAGAGCATTTCGAAACTGTGTTAAACACCACTTCGGTTACTGATGAGGAAGCCATCACATCAATTGAACAAAATCCTGAAATTCCAGAGTTGTCTTTTGAACCTACTTATCAAGAGGCAATTGATTCCACCAAACAAATCTGATCTGGAAAATCACCTAGTCCTAAAGGATCCTATTCCACCCAAAGTGTAAAAGCATGGTGGCCAAAAGTTGGTAGAAAAGTTACATCTCCTTTTTGTGGAGATATGGAAGGCAGGCTGTGTCCCGCAGGATTATAAAGACGTCTCTATCAAACACCTCTACAAAAACAAGGGTTCCAGGTGTGTCTGTGATAATCATCGGGGGATATCACTACTTTCAATTGCTTGCAAAATCCTAGATAGACCGATTCTAAACAGAATCATTATACGCCTTGTTGACGACATCTATCCTGAATGTGATTTTTGGTTGTGTCGGGTCATGGCACCATTGACATGATATTTTCTCTTCATCAATTTGCAGAGAAGGTTCGCAAGAAAAACCAGGAGTTGTACATGGTGTTTGTGCACTTGACGAAGGCCTTTGACACTGTGAATTGAGAGGTGCTTTAGCAAGTCTTGAGGAAACTCGGCATTCCAGAAAACATGCTAAAGGGCATCATCTCCTTTCATGAAGGAATGAAAGCTAATATCGTATCTGATGGAATGATGTCAGAATCCTTTGATGTCACAAACAGCACCAAGTAAGGGTGTTATGGCCCCTGTCCTGTTTGACCTTTTCTTCTCGGTGATGCTGAAATATGCATTCGCAGATACAGGGAGTGGCGTCAAGTTTCAGTTTCGAATAATTGGTGGTCTATTCAATCATCAGCATTTCAAAGCCAAGACCCACCTTCGTACACAAATTATCAATGATTTGTTGTTTGCTGATAATGCTACTCTTGTTGCGACAACCTTTGAGGATAATAAATAGTTTCTCTGCTGCATCTAAAGCCTTTGGTCTTACACTTAGCATAAAGAAAACTGAAGTAGTGCACCAACCTTGTCCTACTCCAAAGCAATTCTGTGGTGAGAAAGAAAAACCACCAGTCTACAAATTTCCAGAGAGACCATTGAAAATAGAAGACAAAGCCCTGAACAATGTGAAGTCTTTCACCTATCTTGGTAGCAAAGTCAATTACAGTGGAACTTTAGATGATGAAATCATGTATCGGATTGCTAAGGCTACCAGGGCTTTCGGCAAACTTTGCCCTCACTTGTGGGATGGGCAGGGTATTCGAATGGATATGAAAATTCAGGTTTACAGAGCTGTTGTCCTTGCCATTGTTTTGTACAGCTCAGAGTCTTGGACTCTGGATGTTTTCCATGTGCCATCTGTGGAGTTAACCTTCAAGATAGAACATCTAACGTAGACCTGTTTAACAGGTGTAATATTGGAGGAATTGACTTTCCTCATACAGTCTCAGTTACGGTGGACTGGTCATGTCTTGAGAATGTCTGATGACAGTATACTCAAGATCCTAATTTTCAGCCAGTTGGATCAGGGCTACAGGAATGTAGGATGCCCATGGCTAAGATACAAAGACAAGCTGAAGAGCAAATTGTCAGCTGTCAATTATACATCATAACACACTCGAGCACTTAGCCTTAGTGCAGGTAGAGTGGAGATCAACATGTTTTAGTGGACTCAGCAGTTTTCAATCTGCTAGCCTGAATAGTCTTTAAGAAGTGAGAACATGATCTAAAAGGTCAGCCAATCTAACAGTGATCTTCACTCTTGCTCCATAAATCACTAGCAGGTCTTATGTGCCACTTAAGATTATCGCATAAAATTCATAACTGAATCAATTGGTTGAGCTGTCAGATCCTCATACGCCAAAACCAACAAGAGAGTTGGTTGTTATTATTATTATTATAATATATATATATATATATATGTATGTATAGGGTGAAAGTATATATATATATATATATATATCTCAATTTTAATCAATATATAAAAATGTGAACATAATTATTACTGCATGATGACTGGCAATTAAACATCTTAAATCAGTGTTTCTTAACCTTTTTTGCTTCAAGGCACACTTGTAGAATAACTAAAATTCTGGAGTGCACTTTAAATTTTAATAAGGAAAAATTACTCATGAAATTTGAAAATATAAAATTTTGCTTTACCATTCCCAAAAAAAGATTATGAGTTCAGATTTCATTTAAAGGGATTTATGAAGAACTGACATTATTATTGTTTTTTTTTTGAAAAGCTAATAATGACAGATTTAAATCCCTTGAGGAAGGCAAAAGGGAAAGCTTTATCCACTCCTTAAAGATTAATGAAGTTATTATCCAGTTTAAAATATCAAATGATAAAACACTTGACTTAGACGTGGAAGCCACACACTAAGTGTTTCTAGCTTTTTAAAAGTAAAATTTTTTTTAGATATAAAAATAATTCATAAGTTACTCTTCTGTTAACTCAGGGTGCACCTGGCTACCTTTCAGGGTGCATTAGTGCACCTGGGTGCACCAGTTGAGAAACAATAACTAGATTATCAAATCATATTTTAAAAAAAGAGGGAATCTTACTGACAAGCAAATACAAGATTTGGCTTGAACTTCTTGAATAAAAAATACTTTATAATGATCATGCATTATTTTTTTTTTTCTATATTGCTGTTGTATTGAAATCACAAACTATGCTTACCTAAGAAGATCCAAGCAAACTGTGGACAGTTAGTAAGGAGCAATGCTACATCATCTCCTCTTTTGACCCCAAGAGAAAGCATCAAGTTGGCTACTTTTGTGGCCATTTTATCCACATAGCTGTAGGTATATTCCACACCTTCAAATATGATGAAGACTTTGTTTGGATGATCTCGAACTGTTGCCTCGAAAACATCTGCTATGGTACGGTGATTTCGATTCATCTTTGAGCTATTCATACCAGCAGAAAGAGCCGAGAGTAAGCGGATATCATAGTAGAGCAAACTCAAAGATGGTTTAATTGCCTTTTTCCAGATCAGGTAGCTGATGCCAGCTAAACCACCTGTTAATGAAGCCATGACAAACATGCGGAGGTCCATCATCAGGTGCTGGTGAGCTGACCTAAAAAAACAAAATAAAAAATATTAGATGTCATTAGTTTGCTTTCTTGCACTTTAAACCTTTTAAGTTCCTTCGACAAAAAAAAAAAAAACAGTTTTATTTCGTTTCTTTTTACATTAGAAAAGCTATTTTAAAATGTTTGTAACTTAGTAAAACAAGAAAGCTTTAGTATCTGTCTATATTTCTGAGATGAGGTATTATGTACACTATTTACATTATTCGGACTATTCTCCTCATCTTATCGCTCTTCTCTGGCACTCCTTATTACTGGTTCCCATGTTGTATTCATTTCTATGCTTGGTCGGCTCAGGAGATTTTTATGGCCTAGCATATGTACTGATTCCTTAAGTCTATGAATTTTCCAATGGTGTTCTTTGTCTATGATCTCAACCTGATCCCACAGGAGGCAGTGATCTCCCTTTTCTCTCCATATGTGGTCAGCCAGGCCTGATTTTTCCACTATGTAAACATATTTTTTTCTTTTAAATTCATTCAACCAACAATTGACATTTTACAGAAACATCTTTCTTGGTCATACATTTATACAAATTCAGTCACTAATAAAATAGTTAAACTTTTGGAATTTGAAGCAATAATTTAAATTTTGGATAATTTTTTTAAGTTTATCATTATGGTTAAGTTTCAATAAATACAAAAATAAACACTGAGAATTGACCCTGAAAAGGGTCCTGAATAAAAGATCATTTTCATAGGTGTAAATTTTATATACCACTCACTCATCTGATCATAGAAAGTCAATTTTTTTTGATGAATAAAAGGAAAAAAAAAATCTCTTTACAAAAGTATTTTTTGTTCCCCAAAGTCATCAAAGTAAAACAAGATGGAAAGAAAAAACAAGGGAAATCTTTGATCAAAATCAGAAAAAAAAGAAAAATGAAAAATTTAACCCACAGTGGATAGTAGAGATATGCGGTTTAACCAAAAAAAAAAAAATCGTTTTTTCGGTTTCATCTTTACACTGTGAAACCACATTGAAATTTTTTACAAAACCGAACGATTCAGTTCCGTTTTTATATAACTAATGAGTGACCATATCCAATCAATGAATGAAGATTTTTAATAAAGAAATCTGTTTTTTATCTAGGGAATGCACAAATACTTAATTGGAAACCGAAAAACCGAATAAAAAACTGCAGTATCAAGGAAATCAAAAGCAATATCGAAACAAATTGCCAAACTGACCAACTTTAGTGGATAGAGGCTCGGAATGGATGCTGAAAGGTTTAAAATCATAAAGCAAAGAAATTAATTTTCTTTCAAAGAAAAATAAAACTGGATAAAAAAAAAAAAAAATACTTATTTACACTATTTACATTTTTTGAACTGTTGTTCTCATCTTCGTATCCATATTTGCAATTTTTCAGCCATTGTATGCTCCAGCCTCCTTCAGGTGATTGGAATTTCAAACTGAATCCTTTATTTCATCCACCAAGGTAGATTGTTCTAGTTTCATGTGCTATGCCTCTTCCAGATGTCTGTTATCTCCCTTTAATTCAACTCTCAAAAAAAAAAAAAAAAAATTGGAGAGTTGAGTTAAAGGAAAACAACTGAGACATTCGGAAGAGGCATGGCACATGGAACTAGAACAGTCTACCCTGGTGAACAAAAAACCTTTAGTTCAAAATTCTAATCACCTGAAGAAGGACATGATGTCATGAATATGGCAACAAAGATGAAGACAACAGTCCAATGTAAATAGTGTAAATAATACCTCATCTCAGAAATATAAACCCCCCAAAAAAGGTGTCTTGAAATTTTACTAATAAAGTGCCACATGTGATCAAATAAATGTTTCCATTTTGTCACTAAGAGGGCCAGCTTATTTTATTTTCAACTTAGTTATACAATTATATATATATATATATATATATATATATATATATATATATATATATATATATATGGTGGACTCTCCTATCATGAACAATAAATGAGGGTCACTTATGCATGCTAGCCAACTATTGTAGAGAAAATCAGGTAAAGGAAAGACATATTTCATTTGTGTTTTCTTTCAGGCAATACTAGCCCAGCCTTGCTGTGGGCGACAAAGCTAAACTGACAGATGAAATTTGTTAAAGCAGGATTTTGATGGCATCTCTGCTTCAGAGCTTGACAAAGCTGATCACAGTGCTTCAATCTACTGTCTTCAAAACCCTTTAACTTAATGAAACATGTCTTATCCCACTCCTTTCAGTTTGATGCTTGAGCTTCCCAGGTTTTCAGATCAAACCTGAGACATTTCAAGTTGCCTATCCTCATCCATTCTCATGACCTGATCATCCCACCTAAGTTGTATCTTTGCTAGAATGGTTTCAATGCCTGTGATGTTGTTACATTTCTTCAGTATTGTACTATTCTTGACCCTGTCATCCCATTTTATATCACATATGGCACAAAGACAGTGCATGTGAAAGGCATCAAATTGATTTATGTGCTTGCATTACAAGGTCTACCATAGAGAAGGGTTGAAATCACGACTGATCTGTATATAACAATCTTTACTCTAAGAGATACATCTTTTATGTTCCATAACTTATGTTTAAGTTTACCGAATGTTGTGCTGGCTTTGGTTATTCTGGATTGGATTTTTCTGTTCATTTTTCCATCAGAAGAGACTGTTGATCCAAGATATGTGAACGCCTCAAGAGTTTTTAATGCTCTACCATCAATTAATATGGAAGGGTTTGTGAATGATGGATGACCTAGTACTAGTTGGTACATTAGCTCAGTCTTCTTTATGTTGATAGTGAGTTCAAATGCTTTTGCTGTTTCAGACAATTTATCAAGGATAATTTGAATGTCTTCTAGACTGTCTGCAAAGAGTAGATCGCGTACCAGCTGCAGACCAATTTTCAATTGTGCTTTAAAACATTGCTGATTGTTAAGACCTCCACTTGTTCTGACTCCTTCACTTAAGTCAGGGAATACTTTTTCAAGCATAACAGAAAAGTGCAAAGAGATGAAAAGCAAGAATGCAACCTTGCTTTGTACCGTTGGAGACAAAAGAGGAGTCTGATTTCACACTTCCTGACCTTACAAAAGCTTTCATTCCTTTATGAAAGGAGATAATAATATAGAGCATTTTTTTCTGGAACACCTAATTTTGGCAAAACTTTCAAAAAAGCAGTTCAAGATACAGTATCAGTGTAACACTATTTCCTCATCCCCACTGGACCCACACACTCCATCAGACTAGTCGTTGGTCCGGTATAGTTCAGTATTACAGGTTAGACACAAGTCTCCAGTTCCCAATCTCAATTTGAAACCACCCTACAGCCATATTGTGATTTTTTTTTTATCCTGGAGAGTGGTCATCTGATCAAAGAAATCTGGAAGCTCCCTGTTGGTTCACCTGTGTGTTTGTCAGGTGAGAATCAGGTTAACAGAAAAATAGATAATCAAGTCTATTTCGATTTTGAAAGGACAAAAATTGTTTTTCTTATATACATAAAAGCAAAAACACAAAAAAAATAATTCTTGTTGCACAAGGTTGAATGTTTCTTGCATGTGAACAATAACCAAACAAATACTTCGAATAATTTCAGCAAGGAGAGATGTGGCCTTTGTTTTAACCCCTTTTGGTCTGTTCTTAGTGCAACTACTACAAACTTCAATGTGCCCATTCTCAGCAGTTGTAGTAGTATTAGTAGTAGCAGTACTTAGATGTCAGCAGCAGTATTTCACTTCTCATCCAAAGCTCAGCAACACACAGTAAACACTTTCACTTCAATCTCTGACATCACTCCACTCAGTTTGACTGCATTCAAAGACAGATGAACCTGAATCTCTTCTATCTTCCGGTTGGCTTGCCTCTTTATATAGAGAACTGGTGACATATCTGTTTTTCTAGTGTGAACATAGTGACATACTTCCAAAGTACAATTTCACTCCTCCGAAAGTAAACAATTTACTTTTTCATTGTTGGTTTCCAAGGTACACAACAAGACTATTGTTTATCACCTCACTATCAAACACTTTGCTGCTTTTTGTAAACTACAGAGTCTTGTTTCAAAAATAAATTCTAGATCAAAACAAACTTTCTTTTAATTTTGATTCTTATAGTGTCAAAATCCATTTCTTTTTCTAAAAGTTCCAAATTATCATTGTTCCAGTAATTATATATAAGTAATCTGATATCCTTTGACACTTACAAAAAGATTGTATTTCATGTTCTAAATTTACCTTCTGTAATATTTACATTTCAAAGTCTTTATAGCATTTTAACATCTTGGTTATTTGAAAATGCCGCTCTGTCACTTGCTGTTTTCTGTTTTACAGCATATCCTCCTTTATTATCATTATTTCAGGGGTGATATTGCCCCTACCACATCAAAAGCCTTTGTGAAGTCTACATAAACAACAAATAGATCCTTGCTTTGCCTTCTCCTGAGCCTACTGGAGACAAAAGATCATATCCACGGCTCCTCTACTGGATCAAAAACCACACTGGGTCTCTGGTAATGCCAATTCTGAGACAAATTCATAAAGCCTATTCATGATGATACGAGCAAGAATTCTGCCAGCAACTAAAAAATGAGATATTCCTCTATAGTTGTCACATTCACACCTGTTCCCTTTGCGCTTATACAAATGGACAATTGAAGCATCCTTATATTGCTGTGGCACTTCTCTCTTTTCCCACACAAGGTTGAAAAACTCA